ATCCAGCTGGAACCTGGAGCGCAACCAACTGTTCGGACACAGTGGCGGCTCAGCCAACCGGAGCTCGCCGAGTTGCGGGCCCAGCTGGATTACCTGCTCGCCAAGGGATTTATCCGGGCAAGCACGTCACCGTATGCCGCCCCGATACTATTCACGCCGAAGAAGGACGGAGGCCTGCGCATGTGCATCGACTACCGAGCGCTGAATCGGGTCACAATTAAGTCGCGTTACCCGATCCCACGAACCGACGACCTGCTGGACCAACTTCGCGGGGCTCGGTTCTTCTCGAAAATCGATTTGCGAGGTGGCTACCACCAGATTCGCGTGTTCGCCGACGTTTGCCCGAAAACGGCTTTCCGCACACGTTACGGCAGCTACGAATTTACGGTGATGCCGTTCGGACTCACAAACGCGCCCTCGACCTTCCAGCTCACCATGAACGGAATTTTCCGGGATATGCTGGATAAGAAAGTCATCGTGTATCTGGACGACATCCTGGTGTATAGCGCGACTAAAACGGAACACCTGCGGGATTTGGAGGAGGTATTCCGGCGGTTGCAGGAACATCGGCTGATTACGAAGGGGTCTAAATGCGAGCTCCTAAAGCCAGAACTGGAGTTCCTGGGGCATGTGGTTTCTGGCGACGGAATCAAAATCGACCCGCGTAAGGTGGACGCAATTCTTAAGTGGACACCGCCTACTAATATCCCTGAGTTGCAAAGTTTCCTGGGGTTTGTTAACTACGTTCGTCGTTTTGTCCCTAATATGGCAGGGATAACCAAGCCTCTGACCGATCTGCTACACCGCGACAGTATTTTCACGTGGGGGGAGAGGGAACAGTCCGCCTTCGACGCTCTCAAAAACATTTTGGGCTTACCCCCTGTCCTCCGCCTCGCCGACCCATCTCGACCGTTCGAAGTCGTCACGGACGCCAGCGATTTCGCCATCGGCGCCGTCCTCTTACATGATTTCGGCCAAGGGCTGCAACCCATCGCGTACGAATCACGCAAAATGCAGCCACCCGAGCGCAACTACCCAATCCACGACAAAGAAATGCTGGCCATCGTCCACGCATTTTGTACCTGGCGCTGTTACCTCACGGGAGCCGACGTGACGATTCGGACCGACCATAAATTGCTACAGTACCTGCGAACGCAACCGACGCTGAACCCACGACAAATCCGGTGGTTGGACTTTCTCGAGTCCAATTTTCGGTACACCATCACGTACAAGAAAGGCGCCAACAGCATCGCCGACGCCCTCACCAGACCATCCATGCAAAACGCAGCAATACTAATCGCCCACACCAACCCGATACTGACAGGACTATTCACCCACGGCTACAAAACCGACCGATTTTTCCGGAACCCGCAACAACAGGCTGCCACACTACACGGCAAGTACTACCTAAAAGCCGGAACGAACCGGATTTGGGTACCGGCATATCGACCTTTACGAGAACTGCTGACGCAAGAAGTCCACGACTCCAACCTTTCGGGGCACTTCGGCATCGACAAAACACTGAAGTTGCTGCAGCGGAATTATTACTGGCCGGACATGCAAACTGATGTACAACGCTACGTGTCCACTTGCCCAACCTGCCAAGCAATGAAGTCGTCGCGACAAAGGCCCGCCAGACTCTTACAACCCCTCGCGCCACCCGAGCGACCGTGGCAACAAGTGACGATGGATTTCGTCACAGGCCTTCCAGCTGGCACAAGTGGCAGCGACTCGGTTTTGGTCGTCGTAGATCGCCTCACGAAAATGGCACATTTCGCCCCCTGCCGAACAACAATCACAGCCGAAGACACTGCCAAGCTGTTCATCTCCACCGTCGTCCGTTTACACGGGTTACCTTCGGCGATCGTTAGCGATCGTGACTCAAAATTCACGTCGAAGTTCTGGCAGGAGACGTGGGCACAGTATGGTACCCGCCTACAGTTTTCGTCGTCATACCACCCACAAACCGACGGACAGACGGAGCGGACCAATCAGACCATGGAGCAACTGATTCGCACCAACTGCCCCGACATTCGTAAATGGGAGGATTCACTACCGATGCTGGAGTTTGCGTACAATAACGCCCCGTCGACCACGACTCAGCAATCGCCCTTCTTCCTGAATTACGGGATAGATCCTGTGGTACCCTCGTCGACGACCGTGGACAACCCGGTACCACGCTCGCAGCAGTTTGTCACGGAACTGCAAACTGCACGCACGAGAGCAGCTGATTTCATTCGCAGGGCTAATACCACAGCCAATCGCCAAGCGGATCGACACCGACGCAATTTACCCTTCCGCACGGGGCAAGTTGTACTTCTGGACACCACAAACCTCCGGCTGCCGCAGCCCGCCAAATTACGACCCCGGTTCGTAGGACCGTTTCGTATCGTCCAGATGGTGACACCTGTCACCGCCAAGCTGCTGTTGCCCGACGACTGGAAAATCCATGACGCCTTCCACGTCAGCCTTCTGCGTCATTACGAGCCCCCGCAGTCGCCAACTGTCGCTCGGCCAACGCTCGCGCCGACAACACGCCCTGTGGCGGAGCCCACGCTGGAACCCTGGAAAATTCTGAACCACCGCGTGGACGTGACCACCGCCGGCCGCTCCGTGAAATTCCTGCTTCGTTGGAAGGACCGCACGAGCGAGGATGACACGTATGTCCCTGCTGACTCGCTCCTGGGACATCCGATTGTGGATGCTTACCTGACCCGCCGTGGTGTCTCCGACATTCACTACCTTTCTTAAGGGGGGGGGGGGTAGTGTAAGGAATTTTTCGGATTCCTTACTGGGTCACACTGTACGCGTACAAACCTGACTTTTCGGAAAACCAGGCTCGGTCCGACGACCTCGCCTTCCGAACCACTATCGCGTCGCTTTCGGGTTTCACAACCCCGGACCTGCACCCAGCCATCCTGCGACCCTACAACCTCGGCCCAGCTAGCCTCGCTATATTAGTCCTAGGCCTCGTTGTGCTCTCAGTAGTTGTAATCACTTCCGCGATATTGAATTCTGCGCACTCTTCTTTCATACAACTCATAACACAATCGGTCCTAAGCGCCTCTGTCGTGCCGAAACACTAAAGACACAAGTGAAGCAACGCATATCGAGGCACCAGCGAGTCAACCCTCGGAAGTTGAAGCAACAGCTGGAGGTTACGCGAAGGTCAAAGGTCGGCGATCTTTGACTTGACAAATGCAGCGCGACAGCAAGGACACACAACTGACTCGATATTGAGCAGTTGCCCGAGTCGCACTGTATCGAACCGCAACAGCCAACAGTTAAACAGTTATCATTGGTATCTCTTCGTATTCCTTGTAATCATATATAAAATCTTGTATCTCCTTGTTTTAATCAACTTACTTTGCCCTCACATACTAGCGCAAGGTGGTTCAGAATCTCTTTGTTAACGCTTCCGCTACTACATCATTCTACCCAGAGATTAACCCTACCAAAGATCCTAAGGGGCACTCAGCCCAACAGCGCGAAGGCAGCCCACACGTGCCACCTGCCCGCGAGGTCCTAGTAACCCATCGCGGCCTGCCCGGACAGGCAGGCGAGGGCCGGGCAAAAACTCGGGGCCCCCTTGGGACGCTCGACAATTTCGCGACCCGTTGCGGTGACGCCACGTGTTCGCTCGTGGCTTCGCATCGGGCGCATGCGATATTTCATTGCGAGCGAAAAAAAAAGCCCGCAACACGGAGAACGAGGTTCGTTACCCGCTACGAAGTCGACACGTGTCGTGCGAATGGACGCTCCGGGCGCATGCGAAATTGCGTCCCCTCGCTGACCTGGGCCAATGGACGCGAGGTCGACGCCCTGCCGAAGCGGAGTCGGACCACCTGTTCCACTTGCGCATGAGCCCTCAGAGCCCTGCCAAGCCAGGCCCCACACCCTTGGGCGACGCTGAACGGGGATGCGGTGGGCCACCGTCTCCTTTTCTTTGTGGATGGTGGCCTCGCTCCTCATTTTCCGTATCTCGTTTCGCTCCTCCTTTTCTCCTTTTTTTCTCCTTTCGTTGCTCTGTGCTATCGTGATATCGCTTCCCCTTAGTCGATATGGACCCTAGCCCCGACGCCGATAACTCGGCGCCGACTTCGGCTGACTTCCCTCTTCGTCACCCAATGGGTCGTGGTCTCAGCTTCACTCTAGAGTGGGAAGACTTCTTAGTTCTTCGCAACCACAAGATAGAGTTCAACGATGGATGTTTGGGTTTCGGCATCAGGTAGGACTCGAGTAGTCGGCGCCGACTAAACATGGTTAGTGTTGATGTCGGCGCAGTGGCCTTCTGATTTACGTCGACGTGCACGGTATAAGGCATAGACCCCCTCCAGGAACGTCGGCCACCTTAGGAAGCGTCGACCACCTTAGGAAGCGTCGACCACACGCAGTCGCCCTGTGTACTTTTCGGCGTTTGCTCAACCGCCCTTGTATGAACCTCCTTGCCCAATCGTGCCGTCAAGTTCGCGTGGTCCCGACTTGGGATCGACAACCAACGTAAGTGGGTAATCGGAGTCGGTACGCTTCGATCGGCCATGAAGGAGGCCGACCATTCATGCTTTGCTGCGGTTTTCGACGCCGACATCGCCGCTATCCCGTTAAGAACGATGTGAGTTATTTCACCGTTGATCAGTTGTCGTTTTTTGTTGTCGCGACATCGCGTGGTGTTGTGATCGACGCCGTCGTGAATTGCATGTGCAGCCTCGGTCCGCTTCCAGGAACGCACTGCAGTGTCATTGCCATCCTATACCCTGGAGATCTGTTGAAGGCCGGGGGACAGGTGTGCAGGACCTCAATCCGGCACATCGACCCGCAGACCGGTAAAAGGTATCACCGCGACGAGGCCGCCCGCGTGCTAAAGTAAGTGCTGAATTGTCGTCGATGACCCGCTTGTTAGTCGGCGACACAGGGTATCACACGCTGACCGCCTCCCTCCACCGCAGTGCTTCAGGTTCTTCCGCACGGCTGTCCTGGCCAAGCTGGGGCGTCCCGGTAGGATGTGGGACTGGGCGCCGCCATCACAAGCAGTGGTGGAGGTCAGGCTGGCCGACTGCGACCACCCTATCCGCGATGTGCGTTGCACGTTCAAGTAGTAAGGGGGGTGCCCGTTTCTGAATGCTCCGCTCATCATGTTCCGTGCTAGTATGCAGAAAGTGCCGGGCACAGTGTCGGACGGGCATGTCGGTGCCGGCGTGCTTTCCGCGACGTCGTTCGGGTGGGTAGCGAAACAGATCGACCATCTGACAGGCGAGAAGGGTCGTAGTGGGGTGAGCATCGAGAGCGTCGGGATGAAGGGGCTGAAGGCTTTGCGCGACAGCATGGTTGAGTACGTCGGCAAGGTCATTGCCGTAAAATGCACCGCGGCGCCGACTTCTCAAGCCGCCGGACCCGCCGACAGTGCCATTGATGACCACGGCGCGCAAGGACAGAAGGCGCCCCAAGGTGCAGTTGCCGCCCAGCATCAGGGGAACGCGAGGATGCATGGGGAAGGTGGAAACGGTGGAGGAGGCGACGCAGAGGCAGGTGCAGGAAGGTTGGAAACGGAGCAGTCGTCGTCGTCGTCTGAGTCGGAGTCGGAGTCGGAGGAGGAAGACGAGGCGGTGAAGCGTAAGGACGAGGAGGAGGAGGAGGAGGAGGAGGAGGAGGAGGAGGAGGAGGAGGAGGAGGAGGAGGAGGAGGAGGAGGAGGAGGAGGAGGAGGAGGAGGAGGAGGAAGAGGAGGAGGAGGAGGAGGAGGAGGAGGAGGAGAATTAGGACGAGAATGGTGAGAAGTGGGAGGGAGGGAAGGACGAGGAGGGGGGGAAGGAAGAGGTGGAGCTCGTGGTGGAGTATGTAGAGGGTACGCTTGAGGCGGGAGCGGCGGAAGAGGCGGTGGGGTCGGCAGATCAGGGGAATGAGGAAGAGAAGGATGACGGCGCGGGAAATGCTACGAGGTCGGCTGATGTGGGGAAGGAGAAGGGCGAGGTCGGCGTGGAGGCAACGACGGGAAATGGCCAGGATGAGGCGGCCTGCGAGGGAGGTGGGAAGGTGTCGGTCGACGCCGGCGAAGGGGCGAACAACACGGGCGTGCAGGAGACCGGGGAAGCACCTGGTTGGCAGGGCCCTGAAGGACGACGTTGAGGAGCTGCGACGGGAGAACTGGTTGTTGCGGGCGGAGAACGCTCGGCTGGCGACGTTGCTCGATGCGGAGCGGGCTCGGCTGGACAGGTTTTTTGTTGGGGTCAGTGGACTCGTCGACCACGTTAAAGGGTTGGCCGAGTAGGTCCAAGACACCGAGAAGTATGCCGCGGAACAGCTGCGAAATGCGACGGAGGCCATGTCGAAGACCATCACGGGCAACATCACCGGCAGCTTTGACGAAGCGTGGAAGTCGATGAAGACATTCGCGGAACAGGCGACGGAGTGGTTGGAGGACTTCGACAATCCGGAGGGTCGTGTCGCGTATGCACGGGCGTTAGCGGTCTCCGCCTTGGCCGAACACGTAGATTCGGTGGTGGGCAATGCAAAGAAGGGGTTGGAAGAGTACGTCTCGAACCACCTTGCCTCCGCGCAGGTCAACATCGCCACCGCTGTGACCGCCAGGCTCGCCGTGCCGCCGCCACCACCGCCTCATCCCACGCCGCCCGCCATCCCGGAAGAGCTTTTGAAGTCGTTTAAGGCCGACATCATGAAGGCGGTGACGAAGGCCACCCAGCAGTCTTTCGTTGCTTCCGGGATGAAGATGATGATAGAGATGATCGGCACTGTGGCGCCAGGTCGACGTGGGTCGTTGCCTTCGGCCAATGACGCCGATAACGCGCAAAGGAAAACGGCCGAGAAGCAGGGCCATAAGAGGACGGGCGACGGAGACGACAAAGAGAGCTCAAAGCGGAGCAAGGGAGCGGACGGTAGCCGCGGGTCGAAGCCTGCGCAACAGAGCATGGTCGACCAGCTGAAGACGAAGGCGGGGTGGAAGGTGGTAAGGACGTCGCACAGCAAGGGAGGCGGAAGCGGGGGAGCAGAGGGTGGCCCTGCCGACGGGATTGCCGCTAACGTAGCTGTTCCGACTGGCCCGCCTTTGGTCGCCGAGCAGACCCATCCTCAGGCGAGCGGTGGGAAAGGCGTGACCGACAAGGAGGTGCCAACTGCTCAGGCGGCGAATGATGGCGACTCCGGAACAAAGATGCGGCTACCAGCGCGCCTGCCGGCCAGTCAGGTGCGAACAAAGATGGGGAGGTTGCTCCAGCTCCAACAGCTCCGGCTGCCGCCAAGGGCATCGCGAAGGCTGCTTCGGCTAAGGGTGGTGCCGTGGCATCAGCTAAGGCCCCCCCCGGTGGTACCGCACTCAGGGAGATGCTCTGCCGCATGGAGGAACATAGCAAAGACGTGCAGCAGCATCCCATGGTCGACGCCGGCCTTCCTGGAACAGCACGTCGCTCCGTCACTACGCAGGTTGCCGGCAAGTCGTCCGGTGCCCCACCTGCCGCGCCTCCGGTGGCCGCCCCACCTCCTGCGGACCGCAAGTCCGCTTTTCTTTGCGCCCATTTAGGCGCACGCAAAGCGGCTGCTCCATCAGTGACCCAGCCGGAACTCGGCAAAAGCGCGACGCCGACGTCGGTAAACGCGACCGCACCCACACCAGGTCCATCTGTGGTCGATGTGGCGGCGGAGAAGGGAGTGAGTGCAGCGCTCGCCACCGGCGGCCGCGAAGACAAGCATGCCGACCTCGCTGTCGTCATGGCCCATTTTGAGGCAGCAAAGCGTCCCGAGCATGCCCCTGTTATGGCCATCATGGACACAGCGCATGTGGTGCCGTCGGCGACCCACGGAGGGGGTTAGGCGGAGCAGTCGGCCGCAATGGCTGCTGTCGCCGAGAGAAATGCTGGACGGAAGGAAAAGGACGACAACGGGAAAGGGAAGGCGGTCTCTCAGAGGAGCACGCGGGCAATGTCTGCGGGGAAGTTGATGTCAGAAGAGAAAGGGAAGAAGGCGGAAGGGGAGCAGGACAAGACGGGCGGCAAAGGTAAGCCGACGAAGAAGAAGGAGAAGGCGGAGGAGGAGGACGAGGAGGGCGGCGAGGGAGATAAAGAGCATGGACGCAGGGGTCATGGCATCCGCCGAGACAAGGCTGGCGACGGGCAAGGGTGGGTGGGCGAGATTAAGGTGAAGGGACTGAATCGGTACATCGACAAGTCGAGGGAGAAGATGGAGCTGGCCTACGAGCACGCAATTGCGTACGTCGTCTACGACAGCTACGTGAGCAAGGTGCTCATGAAAGAGCTCACCGTTCTGAAGCCGGGGGTGTTGGATGAATGGAAGGAGGTGTGGGCGGAGGTCAAGTTCCTGTTGACTGGGATGTGGACGGTGATGTGGGCAAGAGGCTTGGACGGTAAGACGGATCCTGACGTGCCGAATTCTGTCGACCAAGTCGTGTCATTGCGCTAATGTTGACGAAGTCGTGTGGTTCTAATGTGTTTGCGCGGCAGGTTCGACGACATACTCGGCAGGTACCGTGGGTACGCAAGTTCGGGTGATGCACTTCATGACGTGCTCTGGCCGGCGATCTGGTTCCCCATCATCGAGGACACGGAGGAAGGCAAGGAAGAGACGGTCGCTCTCATGTCGGCAATGGTAAATCGCGTGTCGATGTGCGCGGCGTATGAGGAGGTCGCGGCCAGCGCGGCATTTGGGAAGGTCAATGCGAGCGTGGAGGGGAAGGCGGACAAGAAGACGGAGATGGGGGCCCAGGCGTTAGCGGCATCGGCATGCGCCATCTGGTGCTTCTTGGAGACGGGGGCGTCGGTGCTCGGTGCTGTGGGCGAAGGGAAGGCGGCGGCGATGGTGGCAGGTGCAGGGGAGGCGAGGGCCGAGGACTTCAAGGAGGTGATGCACGCGGTGATCGACATAGCACGCAGTAGGCAGGCTCTCGCGGGGGAGGCTGCACATAACGTCACGCCAGCGCTGCAGAGCCAAGCAGTGGCCAGGACCTTCGCGAAGGGAGTTGAGGAAGTCGAGGCCGACATGATCGCAAGAGCGACGGTCGAGACCTTGGCGTTCTGGGGAATGTGCCCCGTCGCCGGGCCCAAGCTCAAAGCGCAGGGCATCGATGTGCCGTGTGACGCGAGGATGGAGTACGATATGGATCACAGGGGAAGGAAGGGGGAGAAGGTCAAGCAGAGCAAGGGCAGCAGCAAGAGGAAGAAGGGCAAGCAGGGCAAGGGCAGTACGGATGCGTAGTTGGCGAGTTGTGGTGTGCAGGGTACTATTGTATGGTCGGCGCCGATGTCGTAGTAATTCTAATGACTTTTGTATCGTAGGGCAGGAATCTTTTTTGTTTTTTAGTAAATCACTGTCCGCATTGAAACTTGCTAGCCGACTTTGAACGATGCGCTTTGTCGGCGCATATGTCGACATCAAAAGAAACATGCTACTCGGCGAGCAGCGATGATAGAGAAGGTAGACACATGCTACTCCGCGACGAGTTCTGTCGGCGAATATGTCGACACCCTAGCAACATGCAATCCTGCGAGACGTCGACATCGATATGTGTTTAGATGTCAGCAAGGATAGTATTTTTGTTTCTTACTAAACGACCGGCTACATTTAACACAGCGGGACCCAGTAGGTTCGCAAGGGCCTTGCAGTGGGTTGTTACAAACTACCGGAACAGCATTTGGAAAAAGAAGGGAAGGGGGGGGTGGGGGGGGGGGGGGGGGGGGGGTACAAATCTGCCACAGTTAACAGCATCGAACTACGCACACGCATATCCTACAGGCGCGATCATGCCGACTTCTTGCGCTTGGTCGGAGGACGGTGCACCGGAGCGGTCGGCTTGGCCGATGCTGTCGACTTGGCCGGGGCCGTCGGCTTCGCCAGGTCGGCCTTGGTCTTCGGCATCTGCTCCTCCCACGTGTCTGGAAACAGGATTTTGACCCAATCACTCTGCTTCAGGTTGAGCGCCACAAGCGCATAGGCGAGGTGTAGCTTCGAGACCACCTTGGGGCCCAGCCCCTTGACTCCCAAACCAAGCTCTTTGGACAACATCGGTGCCGTTCCCGGTTTGAGCACCGTGAGGGCATCGGCGAAGGTCCCGATGCCCGATGCCGCGATCCTGTGCAGTGTGTCGACCACGGCCTCGGTGTCGGCGTCGCCGTCGCTCGCGCGTAGCTGGCGCACCGCATCCATGACCTTCAGCATGCGGCGCACCCTCTTGTTGAGTGCACCCTGCATAGCGCCGGCGAGGAGGGTGTGGTGGTTGATGAACCCCGGCTCGGCGATCCTGTCGCAAAGCCAACGGGTGTCATTAGCGGTGGCGGAGATCCAGAGGCGCCAGGCGTCCCTCACGGTCTTGGCCTCCCGCCACGGTTGTACCACGTTGAGCTTGTAACTAGCCTCCTCGTCCGTCTGTGGGGGTGGCGGGGGTTTGTCGTCCCCTCCGTCGGCGCCGGCTCCCATGTTGGCCGAATCCGCCGAGCCACCCTCGCTGGGAGCTTGCGCGGTCGCACACGGCGGGGCCTCCGGCACTCTTAGTACTTTTGACACACGGAGTGCCTCGGTGAGACGGGTTATCTCGGCGGTGAGAGACGCGATGGTGTCGTCGCGCTTCTCGAGCTCCTCCAGGAAGTCAATCTTCTCGTTCGCAGCGCGCTCCATCTCCTTCGTCAGCTTCGCCTTGAGGGATATGTTGTAGTACTCGGTGTCCATGCGGACAGAGATTTCCTGCAGCGGTAGGACAAAGACGTTAGCCGCGAGGTGGTTTGGAATTCCCTACATCCAGCTCGCCGCCAACTTACCTCTGCCTGAATTTGGGTCGGGTCCCGACGCTTGTTGATCGTCTCGGTGTCGACCCTCTCGACCCGTTTCGCCCAGTGCTGGAAGAGGGGGATCCGGCAAAGCAGGGAGCCTTGGACGTATGGGTGCCATGGTGTGCGGACCAGCTTCACCGCTAGGTCCTCGGCGACGATGCGGCGCAGCATCTGGATTGTGCGCCAGAAGTGCACCGCGGCTTTGTCGGCGTCGGACCCCTCGGCAGCCTTCCCTTCTGCCTGCAATTCGTCACGTGTATTAGGAGTTCAGACACTGTCGGCAACACGACTCGGAAACAAGGATACGAGGGCGTCGACTAACATACCGTCTTCAGGATGGCGTCGACGCCGGGGAAGATGTGCTCGGCGAGGAGCTTCAAGAGCTTATCGGAGGGCTCCACCCTGCTCCGGCCCAAGAAGTAGTCCTGCTTGTAACCAGAGTAACTGGCCTTCTTCATCACCACCCCCACCGGAATGGCGGTGATGTACGCTCGCGTCGTCTTGTCGAGCGCCCAGTGACCCAGCTCCGCGATCTCGGCGCGCGGCGTGCCGTCGATGGCCAGCTCCTGGGCCCCTCCGGCTCGAGCGGCGTGCACGTTCCTCTTTCAGAAGACCCCGTTTTTGTCCCACAACTGCCGCGTCCAGCGTTGGTGGCTTGCCATAGAGAGCTCCCCTTGGTTGGTGTCGTTTTTGGTGAAGAAGAGGTGCTTCTTGTACCAGCTCGCGCGTGTGCTGGTGTCCACCGGCGGAATGAGGCGGACGTCGTGAAACTATCCGATCTGGTCGAGGATGATGTGCAACCACAGGCCCGTCTCGCCGACGGCGCACAACTCCGCTTCGAGGTGCCGCGCAGCGTAGCTCTGCTGTAGACGCGCATCCTTGGACGTCTTCGAGTTCCGCGTAGCGATGACCATGACGACCGGCTGGTTCTCCGGGTTCACCGACGAGGTGCTCGCCAGTCGGTACAAGAATATGTCGGGGAGCGTGATCTCGCGGATGCTTGCACCGCGCAGAAGAGAGTGGTGGGAGAGTAGCGTGAGCACCTTCAACAGCAGAAACCGCCATAGCGTCTGCGACGGGCCCGTACCCCGCGGGTTCCACGCCTTGGCCGCCCACGTCGGCAGCACCCTGAACATGATCTGGCGGAACTTCTCGGCGGTGTAGGTATCGCCGATTGTTCCGCGATGCCGATCGGTGCAGTTGCTGCCGACAATGCCGAGGGTGGGGGGCAATTAGGGCGGCGTCGACTCAGTACAAGACAACAAGAGGTTAAACAAAAACTCACTTGATGTCCCGCTCGTTCTTGGTGCGGATCATGAACCGCACCTCCGACCTGACCACCGATATCTCTCGCATGATGCTCAGATCCGTCTCCCGGTATATCGTCACCTCCACTCTCGCCGCCATCTAGCATGCCTTTATGCGCCCGAGGAGCGTGTGCACCGTTGTAGATTGCACAGGCTGTGTTCCTGTGGCGTTGTCACCCTCCTTGCTGGACTCGGCATCGAGATTCAACTCCCGAACCATGTACTTCACGTATGCGCGAAGCCGGGACTTGGTGACCCTAGGGCCGTGCAGCCACACGTACGACCGGGGGACATCGGCCTCTTGGTCCCAATTTTTCTTCTTGTTGTCCCGGATGTAGTGCCCCATCTCGTCGACGTGCTTAAGCCTGTACTTCTGCGGAAGCTTGTTGCGAATTTTCCTCAACATCTTCGCCGCCCACCTCTTGTAGTGATAGATCCACGAGGTGTACTGCCTCAGCGTGCTGTTCCTCTCCACGGTTTGCAGGTGGCGTAGGGCGTCCAAGACGAGCACGTCGATGGTCGCGTACACCATGTCTTCCTCGACGAAGTCTGCCGCTCTCCACTGTTCGCGCGGCACCGACAAATTCTCCTGGTCGGCATCCTCGTCCTGTTCGAGCAGATCATCTATGTATTCAAGTTCCCGCCTGAGCTGTTCTTCCAAGGTGCGCTGACTAGTGCTACGCGGCGGACGCTCGTCGTTTTCGTCATCGCTTTCCTCCTCCTCCTCCTCCCCCCCATCCTCCTCCTCATCGACCTCAACCTGGTTTCCAGAGCCGGCCGGTGCCGACGAAGTTCCTGGCCGTCCATTTCGCGTCGGATTCTGTTTTTTATTTTTGTTAAACTCCCCGATTGGCGGTGGGGGAATGTCCTTGGTGAACTCCCCTTCTGGAATCTGCTTCAGCTTGTCAAGATCGTAGAGTAAGGGGAGCGTCTCTTCCTCGGTAGATGTTGGACTGTGGTCGGTGGATGGTCTAGCGTCAGTCATGTTGACGTCGGCCATGTGGCAGCACGTATGTTGCTCTACCGTCGTCCGTGTGCGATGCGGAGGCCGGTAAATCAGAGACGGTACTGATTCACGGGTGCGGTGTACGACCGAAGAGTAGCGCGGCGGTCTTCCTCTAGATAACGTTCAATAACGTCTAACTCGTGTTCAACCTCGAGATTGCGGGGGTTGGTAAACCAAAGACGGTACTGAGTCACGGGTGTGGTGAACGCCCGGAGAGTTGCGCGGCGGTCTTCTTCGAATTCTCGGTCGAATGAGTCTAACTCGGCTTCGACCTCGAGCCGTTCCAGCTCCGCTTTGATGTCGGCGTCTACAGAGTCGGCGGGGGGTGGAATGGGTTGCGGCTGTTGGGCTCTAGGGCGACCTCTGGCCATGCGTCGCCGACTTGCACCGATGTTTCGCTAAAACAGCAGACGTCGACGTCGACTACTGTCAGTAGATCTGCACTGTGGATGCCCGATTGATCCTGGAGAGGGTTACAGGCGCATTCGCCTGGGGGGTTATGGGCGCACTGACCCGCTACTGAAACAAGCCCTTTTATCCCAATGGTCTAGTGGTTGGGATTCTGACATGGTATCAGAGCGATCTCGGGTTCGAATCCCGGTGTATGCACATGTAGGCCGGTGCCGCTGTGCTTTGTCCTGGGCCTCCCAGTGTGGGGGGGTGTCAGTAGATCTGCACTGTGGATGCCCGATTGATCCTGGAGAGGGTTACAGGCGCATTCGCCTGGGGGGTTATGGGCGCACTGACCCGCTACTGAAACAAGCCCTTTTATCCCAATGGTCTAGTGGTTGGGATTCTGACAACTACTACTGACCAAGTCGGCAACCGAGTAACCTACAGGCGCGATGACAGACTGGCAGCTGAAAATTGTAAGTGCACGAGAGAGCAGGAAGAAACGCAGGAACGGACATGGGAATGAGCAAGCCCGCCCGATCATGGACGGGTATGGTCCTGAGCGACTTCGATGCTGCCACGCTTCACGCACACCCCTATGCTACTGCCGCCGTGCATGTGTTCTCGCATAGGCGGCGCTCTGCCCGAAGTGCCACGTACCAAGCATGGCTAATGTTACTTCGCGCTGGACCGAAGGGGCGTAAGCCAGGCCCTTTCCACGGTGGAATGGGCGTGTGTTACGTGGCTTGGGGCCGACATTGGCCTTTCAGTACCGAAATTACAGCATGCCGACTCGAATCTCCCAGGGTACCGGATTTATTGAAGCCCACCGTGGCAGTCCTAGCGTGGGCGCCCGAAGATCGGCGCCGACTTACAATCGGCGCGCTTGATTGTTTCTTTAGGTTCATTGAACCTAGACAGCGTTGAGATTGTGCCGCGTGGCTTGGTTGTGGACCTTTGGATGAATTGGTCGACACCGACATCGCGTGCAACTCGCGATGCCACAGAACAGTTACATCCTGGACGGTCCGATTTTTGTCGCGTGGATCGCGCTCTGACATTTTCAAAGGTGTGAACGTTTTCCCGCTTTGGGAAAATGACCGCTGGAGCGACGCGTGGCCACCACGGCCACGTCGTGACAGCCTTGTACACGGTGGGGACGGTCTGGATCCCCCCTACTGGTCCGCGTGGCGGACGTCGCGGCTTGACGTGGCGAGCTTTCCTATTTTGTCCGCTGAGATTTACTTCTCAGGAATCTCCCAGCGCAAACCTATGTCGTCGGATTGTCGACATTCCCGAGGGCTCCCGAGGCCCTTGGGACGCCATTTTGGGCCCAGTTTGGAGCTCGGAGGTCGTCGCGAGCTCGTCAATCCCGAGGGGGGCCGTTGTCCTTTCTAAACCGCGAAATAGGGCGGCGTTTTTTGGCCGTTGAGGTATATCATCCCCTGTTTCTCAACGTCTGACAATCGGGAGCCCAAGCTACAGTGCGAACGTGTGCTTGGATTTTGCGGGCTGGTGCTTGCAGCCGAACCCTAGGTGGCAGGCAAATGCAGTCTATTTGAACGATACAAAACGGGGCTTATGACTGAAAAAGTGCTATCGCGAACGGTTGAGTGCGGCAAATTGTGCTTATATGTTATGTTCTGGGACCGTTTTGGACGCGTTGATGTCAGAATATATGGCCTGTTCATACAGCGAATGTCAGTGTGGCGCGAAACAGGCTGTACCAGAAATTGTCACAGCCATGAAAGCATTAACAGCTACAGTTACCCAGCAGCTTTTGTCATCATGATGTCATCGTTCTGGATTCTCAGGCTGTGCGAAGCCTCCTGGATATGAGCACTCAATATGCGCTGTCTGGCGCATCACTGTACAGTGTTGGCTGTCTGTCGGCTCTGTTTGACATGTCCAACTTACATTGAGCTGTAGCATGGGTTTTTGCAGGTTGGAATGCAAGCTGCGCCAAGCGGTTGCAGGAGGCCAGAGAATGTCCAGATGTCAAGCTTCATGAGCATGCGTGGCATTGGTTTGATGTTCTGCTAGGATCCTGCTTCGCAACAGACGAATAACTGTGGCTGGGTGGTGTCTGTTGGAGAGGACATGTCCTTCCTCTCAATTCCGCGTCTCTCTTGGTAGGGCATACCGCCCGTGTCATGACACTTGTGTAGAAAATGCTTTTCTTCGATATTTTTTTCAACCGAATACTGAATTTCACGTGTATTGCTAAAGCACTGATACCTGTTTCCTCAAACACTAATGACCTCATTATGATCCTAATATGATCCAATGTGCAATGAATGGTGGAACTACACTAAAAATCAGACTGTCTGCCCTATACCTTTCACCATCGGTTCCGCGTAAAACTGTTTACTTTTCTGTCGATGAGAGCAAGGATCTTTGAGAAATTATATTAGCAGTCACAATTAATCCCGGTTTATTACGTTTGGTCACAGGAGTATCATAGATAGTCACAGTACAATAGATTTCTATCGCGGGTGATCACAGTGCTATCACGGATGGTCACACCTCGCCCCGAAAAGCTATCACGTTTGGTCACTCGTTGAAACGGTCGATGGAAAGTTGAAACTACTCAAGTCACTGTAGGGATTCAAGAAAAGTTTTCTCATGCGCGCCGTTTTGTACGTAGTATGACGAAATAGTTTTGCGACAACTCTCGGTAACTCATTAAAAACATCTGCGAATTCTTGTTGCTATTTGATTGTCTTCTGTTCGAATGACGCCCAATGATCCTAAGAATATCACTTTTAGACGGGTAAAATCGAAGGGTATTTCTGTTCCCAAGAAAAAAAACAAAAACTAAAACCCGTTCGGATGGGATTTAATTCGGGATGCATCAACCCTAAGCACCTTGTCTCATGGTGTTTAGGGTTGATGCCTCCCGAAAAACGTGCAATCATTTAGGGGCTTATGTTTTTCTTCATTCCCCTAAATGACAGGCTCAAATGATGTGCGGGGTAACAAGCGATATAAAAATGTAATTCCCCAAAATTGCTACAGTATCTTTTGTGGTTTCAAAATAATTAAAGCGTGGAACATCCTTGTGAACAAGTGTCCCGTCGGCTCTCTGGTCGAACATTTGTCTCGTCAATGGTTTTCGTCAGGTAACACGCAAAACCCCATACCCCAAGTTGGAAACACTTGGTCGCCCAGAAATACGGAGTCGCGATGATGCACGAAAGCGCCTGCTTAGTCAAACACCATGCTGCAAATTGGGTCGCAGCACGTCACTCACGACAACACCTGGTTTCATTTCGCATGTTTTTCCTGACGTCTCTACTTCTTGTCGTATCTGCGAGGTTCAACGGGTGGGGCTACCAACAAGCATAAGCTGTGGAACGTGCGTTCTTCAGGCAGTCTTTGTCAGTCTGCTTCGTAGGTCAATGGCGATGGTCGCAACAATGATTATTGTCGCTGTTGGGCGACCATCGCCTTGTTCAGAAGGATGTTCTACGCCCTCAATGTCGTTTCATTGAGTGACCAAACGTGATAGCTTTTAGAGGCGAGGTGTGACCATGCGTGATAGTACTGTGATCACCCGCGAGAGGAATCTACTGTACTGTGACTGTTTGAGATAGCCTTGTAACCAAACGCGATAAAACGGCCTCAATTGTGACTGCCCGTATAATCTCCCAGGACTTGTCCCAGCAGAAAGGACCCCCCTTTTTCCATGCCAAGCCCCTCGTTCTCCTCCAGGGGCTGTTCACAGTAGACTTGTGGCACCTGGACGGATCGCCGACCAACCTATGGAGACGAGTTGCACGGCATTGTTTGCGCGTTCTGTGGAGACTGGGTAACCGACGACACAGAATTGCTGTCTCGTCACGCCACGCGTGCAGCAATCCCGAGGAATCATTTTTCCGCCGCCGCTACTTGAAGATGAGGATGACCGCAAGACTCGTAGCGATTGGTCAACGGAATTCTGGAGCGCACGTCACAATGAACGAAAGGCAGCTGTTCCTCGATGAATTCAATGCAACCTCCGCCACTCGTGATGAACGAACTTTTTGATAAGAAAAGAGAAAAATACCAAGAAACATGTGGCCTCAAACTACTCACGCATTGGATTAAACGCCAGTACAAGGCACTTTTTTTTGTCATAGGCGACAAGAGTGTGTTAGTGTAATCCGAGGTACCGGTACCATAACAGAAACTTGAAGTATAGCAAACCGCGTGTGCTGACTAGTGAGAAGAGGAATCGCCTACCCTGCCAACAGAGCATCCTCCGCTCCCCTATTTCCTCCCCAGTTTCTCAACTAGCCGTTCAACCCTAGACGCGTGAAACTTCCCTCAAAGCAGGGGAATCCCTGCCCTGCTGGCATTTCCCCTCACGTCCTATCTCACCGAGTAAAAGCTGACCTGACCATTCACAAAGTTAGTGTACCATGGTCGTGACTGTGAGCTCCGCTTTATCCCGATTTTCCGTTACTTGCATAATCAACGAAGGAAACTTTAACATCGCCCGTCGTTGTTCAAAGCCAATTGCGACGACGACAATCCATTTCGAGAGGTTGCTCAGGCTACCTACTATTGCCTTCAGATCCCATCACATCCCAGGTCGCTTAACAAAAATCCTGCCATCACCACAACAAACATTATTGAATAACAAACACCCGCCGCAACAGCCGTCGTCTATCTCTGGCGGTAAGGATAGGCTATATCATTCGCGTTGGCTTGCAATTCAATTACAGCACCACATTATAACTTCATTATCGTGACAGTGATTGGCGCATCTGGGAACAATGTGACGTGGTTCTGCCTCAGAACAACGAGGATCAACGAGGACATGGCAAGAATGAACTTGATGAATGGCGAAATAGTTTTGAAAATAACATACTTTCTCGTTGGTATATATTTTGTTTCCACTTGCATTTCTATCAGTTCTAGATTAGTTCGTTTTTTTATTTTTATTTTTAACTAGATAATTTTTTCTCTTTTTTTTCTCATTTTCTCTCCGTCCCCTTTTTCCTCCCTTCCAAGGAGGAAGAAGGAAGAGCTATTAACTCGCCCCTCTGTCCCCCATCGGTCCTCCCCCACTTTCCCCACATTTAAGCCCCCTTCCAACTCGCCTCCCTGTCCCCTTTGTTGCCCTCCCTCTCTCCCCTAAGCCCCCCTACAACTCGCCTCCTCATCATCCCCCCAGCACCCCTCCCCTCCTGGAAGGAAGGAAGAGTCAACTCACCCCTCAGTCCGCTTTTTTTCCCTCCCCTTCCCTCCTAAGCCCCCCTCCAACCCGCCTCCTCATCATCCCCCCAGCCCCCCTCACCTCCCCTCTTCCTGGGAAGGAAGGAAGAGCCAACTCGCCCCCCGTCCCCTTTGTTTCCCTCCCCCTCCCTCTCCCCCCTACTAATTCCCCCCTCCCTCTCCCCCCTACTAATTCCCCCCTCCCTCTCCCCCCTACTAATTCCCCCCTCCGACTCGCCCCATCTCTTATCATCCAGCCCCCAGCACCCCTCCTCTCCTCTTTTCCATCGCCCTCCCCTCCTGGGAAGGAAGGAAGAGCCAGCTCACCCTCCTGTCCCATTTGTTTCCCTCCCCTTCTCCCTCAAGCCCCCTCTCCAACTCGCCTCCACCTCTCATCATCCACTGGATGATGGATAAAAGAGGGTTTTTGAGACGTCTCAAAAACCCTCCCCTTCCCCCCTAAGTCCCCCCTCCAACTCGCCTCCACCTTTCATCATCCAATCCAAGCCCCAGCACCCCTCCCCTCCCCTCTTCGATCGCCCTTCCCTCCTGGGAAGGAGGGAAGAGCCAACTCGCTTCCCTGTCCTCTCTGTTCCCCCCCCCCTCTCCCCTGCCCCCCACTCCAACTCGCCTCTACCTCTCATCATCCAAACCCCCAACATCCTTCCCCTCCCCTCTTTCATCCCCGCTTTCCACCCTCTGCATCCCCCCCCCCCCCCCCCCCTCCCCTTTGCCTGTAAGCATACCCCTGGATAGACTTTTGAGACATCTCAACAGCCGTCTCCCCCTCCCCCCCACTTCCCCTCTCTTCCTACTTCCGCCCTCCCCCCACTTCCCCCCTCTCCTCCCCCCACTTCCCCCCTCTCCTCCCCCAACTGTCATCACCATCACCAGATTCGCGCCGTGTCTCTACTACAGTCAATATCCCCCCCTTGCTGCGCCAGCAGTGGCAGTGGTAGACTTTTGAGGCGTCTCAAAAGCCCTCTTTCCTTCCCCCCTTCCCTTTCCCAACTGTCCTGACCAGATCCACACCGTGTCTCTGCAGCCGTCAACGTTCCCCCCCTTGCTGCGTCAGCAAGCGCCAGTGCCAGCTCAGACCGAGATCCGCGGGAAATATCTGACTCCCTCGCCCTCGAACCAGTTTCGATCGGGCAGTGTAGACAAGCTTCTGGGCTGACCGGCAGGGGCGGTAAAGGGGAGGCTGCTATGGCAAATGATGGGGGTTCTAGCGCGTTCTGGAGGCGTGCGAAAGAAATAGAGGCTCCCATGTAAGCTACTTTTTAGGCGCCTCAAAAGAGGCTCCCATGTAAGCGCTCCCGATCTGACTGATAGCAAGCACTTCTTTTAATGGAGGCGATTCAGCAAGAAGCATGGGACGGGGGATTATGATAGGGGTTTAAGTGCATTGTGATGTGAATGCGCATTATGAAAGCAGGGGTGCCAACGAGTCCTCCCCCCCTCATCTCTCCCCCTTATTTCTCCCCCTCAGCTCTCGCCCTCACCTCTCCCATTCACCTCTTCCTTCGTCTTCCCCTTCCCCTCCACCTCACTTTTCCCCTCCCGGTCGCCTTCCTTCTCTCACCTTCCCCTCTTCCTCCCCTCTTCCTCCCCTCTTCCTCGCCTCTTCTAAACCCCTCCCCTCCCCTCGCTCCCTCTCTCCCTCCTGCTCCCCCTACCTCCGCCGCTCCCACCCCCCTTGCCGATTCCCTTTCCTACCCTCCTCCCCCTTTCCCTCTCCCGCCACCTCCCCTTCTCCCTCCCCCCTTCCCCGCCCTCTCCACCTTTCCCTCCCCCTTCCCCTTTTCTCCCCCCCTCCCCCTCCCCCTCTCCCCGCTTCCCTCTCCCCCGCCCCTCCCCCCATCAGGTGCGCCAAGGTGCCATTCTCCTTTCCCCCGATGTTTGGGGACGTGCGGGACGACCCCCCACCCCACTGGCTCTGTAACCCCCCTCCCTGCTTCTGCTCTTTTCTCCCCCCTCCCCCTCTCCCTCTGCTCTCCGCCCTCCCCTGCCGCTCCCCCTGCTCTTCCCCCCATCAGTTGCGCCAAGGTCGCCTTCTCCTTCCCCCAATGTTTGGAGACGTGCGGGACGATCCCCACCACTGGCTGAGAGACAAGAGGCGATGAGAGTAACACAAATGTGCCTGTAACCCCTCTCCTCACCAGGTGCGCCAAGGTGCCATTCTCCTTCCCTCCAATGTTTGGAGACGTGCGGGACGACCCCCACCACTGGCTCAGGGACGAGAGGCGCGAGAATCCGCAAGTCCTGGCGCATTTGGCGGCAGAGAACGCGTACACTGACGCCCTACTGCCTTTGTGTGGTGCTGGCGTTGGGAACGCGAATGTGTGCACTGATGCTGAAAACGCGAATGCTGTGAAGCCACAGATACAACCGGTAGAGAACGCGTACACTGACGCCATACTGCCTCCATGTAGTGAAGGAGACAAGGCGTGTACGGGGGACAAAGGAGAAATGGCGGGTGGGGGAGAGCGAGAGGGTGTGCCACTGCGCGTTCTACTGCAAGGGGAGATGAAAGCGCGAGTGAAGCAGGAGGACAGGAGCGTTCCTTTAAGAAAGGGTAATTTCTGGTACTACACCCGAGAGGAGGAGGGTAAACAGTATCCCATTCACTGCAGGAGAGCAGCTGCAGACTCTGCAGTCTCAGCAGCAGCAGCAGCAGCAGCAGCAGCAGCACAATCACCATGCGAGCCCAGAGATTATTTTTCCGAGAGCATGGATGAAGGGGTTTTAGAGGAAATCGTTTTAGAGGAGAACAGGGAGGCGGAGGGGCGAAGCTTCTTCCACATTGATAGTGTTATTGTGAGCCCAAACCATGGGTTTGTGGCGTATAGTATTGACACGAGGGGGGATGAGAGGTATTCTATCCATGTGCGGCCTATTTGCTCTAGCTCTGCTGCTGCTGCTGCTGCTGCTGCTGCTGCTGCTGCTGCTGCGGCTTCAGCAGGACTATTGTCAGTGCCACCAGATTCCTCACCAGCTGAGTCAGCAGCAGCTGCAGGAAGAGCGTCAGAAGGAGCAGAAAGAGTGTCAGAAGGAGCAGCAGCAGCAGCAGCAGCAGCAGCAGCAGCAGCAGCAGCAGCAGCAGCAGCAGCAGCGGGGAGATCTTCTGAAGGACGGTCAATACCCGCACCAGCAGTAACAGAAGCAGATGGTTTAGCAGGCACACCAGTAACAGCAGCGGAAGCAGGAGCAGCAGCCGCAGCAGCAGCAGAAGCAGCAGCAGCGGCAGATACGGATGTTATCACGTCAGAGTTTGGTACAAGCGGCGAGGTGTGCTGGGCGGAAGACAACCAGACGCTCTTCTACGTCGCTCAGGACGAAAAAGACCGCCCGTGCTCCGTCATGCGCCACGTCATCGGCACGCCGGTCTCTCAGGACGCGCGCGTCTTTTTCGAAAAGGACGAGGCGTTTGACGTGGGCGTTCACCGCACGTCTTCGGACCGATTTATTATGATAACATGTGGATCGGCTGTGACGTCCTTTTTGCTGGCAATCGATGTTCAAAGACCGTTCGACCCTCCAAGGCAGCTCGTGCCAAGAGTGCACGTAAGTAATAGTGCAGTGCACGTGTGGGTCGGCTGTGACGTCCTTTCTGCTGACGATTGACGTTCAACGGCCTTTTGATCCTCCCAGACAACTCATGCCGAGGGTGCATGTGAGTACCATCTAGAGTGTTGTACCTGCGTGGGTTGCTGTGTGCATGCATGTGTTGTTGTTGTGCGCGTGTGGGTGTGCGTTGGCTGTGACGTCCTTTCTGCTGGCAATCGATGTTCAAAGACCGTTCGACCCTCCGAGGCAGCTCGTGCCAAGAGCGCATGTAAGTACTAGTGCAGTGCACGTGGGTGCATGTGAGTACTAGCGCAGTGCAGTGCACGTGGGTGCATGTGAGTACTAGCGCAGTGCAGTGCACGTGGGTGCATGTGAGTACTAGCGCAGTGCAGTGCACGTGGGTGCATGTGAGTACTAGCGCAGTGCAGTGCATGTGGGTGCATGTAAGTACTAGCGCAGCGCAGTGCATGTGGGTGCATGTGAGTACTAGCGCAGTGCATGTGGGTGCATGTGGGTGCATGTGAGTACTAGCGCAGTGCATGTGGGTGCACGTGGGTGCACGTGGGTGCATGTGGGTGCATGTGGGTGCACGTGGGTGCTGGGTGCATGTGAGGACTAGCGCAGTGCATGTGGGTGCACGTGGGTGCACGTGGGTGCATGTGGGTGCATGTGGGTGCACGTGGGTGCATGTGGGTGCATGTGGGTGCATGTGAGGACTAGCGCAGTGCATGTGGGTGCATGTGAGGACTAGCGCAGTGCATGTGGGTGCATGTGGGTGCACGTGGGTGCATGTGGGTGCATGTGGGTGCATGTGAGTACTAGCGCAGTGCATGTGGGTGCATGTGGGTGCACGTGGGTGCATGTGGGTGCATTTGGGTGCATGTGGGTGCATGTGGGTGCATTTTGGTGCATGTGAGTACTTCGTTTCTGCTGGCAATCGACGTTCGAAGGCCGTTTGACCCTACAAGGCAGCTCGTGCTGAAAGTGCATGTGAGTACTAGAACAGACCAGCCACCTGCATAGGCTGCTGCTGCATAGTATGTTCTGTTGCGTTCAGAAAGTGGGGGTATATGGAGTGGAGACCACAGAGGCTCGCACTGCTTCCTCCTCCGCCGCTCCGCCTACCTTTGGTGGAACTCATTTGGAGCGGCAGCGGCAGAGGCGGAGGCGAATGTGAGGTCCCACGGGTCCCACGACTCAAAAGAAGAAGTGTGATCGTCGAATGTGAGGTCCCACGGGTCCTCACTCATCGTGTAATGAGTCTGCTTTTGAGTCGACTTAAAAGAACAAGTGTGATCCTCTCTGCCTCTGCTGCTCCGCCTCCGCCGCTCTGCCTCCTCTTTTTTATCTTCCGAGTTGACTCAAAAGTCATCTCGCCTCTGCCTTTTTGTCTTCCAAGACGTCTTTCCCTCCCCTCTCAGCCTTCAACCCCTCTTCCTCTCTCTCCTCTCCCCCCACCCCTCCCCCCTCGCCTTCCTCAGAACGTGGAGGTGTATGGGGATCACAGCGGCTCGCGCTTCTTCCTCCTCCGCCGCTCCCCCCAACTACAGGGCTCGGAGCTCCCTTCTCCCCTTTGCAGCATCCGCCCATCCTCTCTCCCCATTTCTCCCTTCCCCCCCTCGCCTTCCTCAGAACGTGGAGGTGTATGGGGATCACAGCAGCTCGCGCTTCTTCCTCCTCCGCCTCTCCTTCAGGAGCCTTTGTGCCCTCTTTTCCTCGCCTCTTCACCCCTGTCCCCTCCGCCTCTCCCCTGCTCTCTCTCACCCCTTAAAGAACGTGGAAGTGTATGGAGACCACAGCGGGTCGCGATTCTTTCTCCTCCGCCCGCTCCCCCCACCTCTGGAAATCAAAGCTCCTCGCCATCGAAAGTCGTGTTCCCCCCACCCCTCCCCCACCCCTCCCCCACCCCTCCCCCACCCCCTTCCTCAGAACGTGGAGGTGTATGGAGACCACAGCGGCTCGCACTTCTTCCTCCTTGGTGCCTTCTGGGTCAACTCAAGAATCACCCACCCTCTCTCTCTCCCTCCTCCCCCTCCCCTCCTTCAGAACGTGGAGGTGTATGGGGACCACAGTGGCTCGCACTTCTTCCTCCTCCGCCGCTCCTACCAGATGCGAAACTCCGAGCTCCTCGCGCTACCTGTTGCTGATGCCACTGCTGCTGCTGCTCCTGCAGCTGAGGCTGTAGAGCCCTCAGTGGTGCTCCCGCATGATCCCAGGTGAGTCAGACAGACCACAGCGGCTCGCGCTTCTTCCCCCTCCGCCGCTCCGACCAGATGCGGAACTCCGAGCTCCTTGCGCTGCCTGTTGCTGATGCCACTGCTGCTGCTGCTCCTGCAGCTGAGGCTGTAGAACCTTCATTGGTTCTGCCGCATGACCCCGGGTGAGACGCTGACAGCTCTGGAACTCGCAGCTCCTCGCGCCGCTGCCTGTTGCTGACGCTGCTCCTGCAGCTGAGGCTGTAGAGCCCTCGTTGGTTCTCCCACATGACCCCAGGTGAGCCAGACAGACCGATCACAGCAGGTCGCACTTCTTCCTCCTCCGCCGCTCCGCGCTCCTCTGGAACTCTGAGCTCCTCTCGCTGCCTGTTGCTGATGCCGCTGCCACTGCTGCTGCTGATGCCGCTGCCACTGCTGCTGCTGATGCCGCTACTGCTGCATCTGAGGCTGTAGAACCCTCGTTGGTTCTCCCGCATGACCCCCGGTGAGCCAGACAGACAGACAGACAGACCACAGCGGGTTGCACTTCTTCCTCCTCCGCCGCTCCGACCAACTGCGGAACTCCGAGCTCCTTGCTGTGCCTGCTTCAGACGATGCTGATCCGGAGGGATTTCAGCTGTTGGTGGTGCTGCCTGCCGCATGACCCCAGGTGAAGTGAGTGAGACAAATCGTGTGTCACCTCACCATTGGAGCTCAGAGCTCCTCACACTGCTGCCGCTCCGTTCAACTCTGGAACTCCGAGCTCCTTACCGTGCCTGATTCAGAAGATGTTGATGCGGAGGGCCGCCCTTATATTTTCAGCCATTGGTGGTGCTGCCGCATGACCCCAGGTGGGAGTTTAAACCTTAAACCCTAAACCCTAGACCCCGTACTATGAAGCTCCAATTAGTGGCGGCCTTTATGTGGGTTTTGAGATGTAAACCCCTGACCCTAAGCCCTGAACTCGGTCTTTCTTTGTCCTTGTACCCTTTTATTGTATTTTTTCACCCCCCAGTGTGAAGCTCCAATCAGTGACAGCCTTCAAGCGCCACGTGGTCGTTTGTTCCGTCACCCCAAACTCACTCACAACTTTGAACCTTCAACCCATAAACCCAGAACCCTCCTGACTCCTTGTGCCTTTTATTGTATTTTTCACCCCCCAGTGTGAAGCTCCAATCAGTGACGGCCTTCAAGCGCCACGTGGTCGTGTTTGAGAGGGTGAAGGGGCTACAACGGATCAGATCCATCCCCTTGCGATCCGACGGCTCTCCTGCACCTGAAGCTGCCAAACTGTGAGCTTCCAGCCGAAGCATGAATATGCTGCTCCTTTCCTTCCACCCTCGTACGTACTGAGATAGATGCTTGTGTTGCAAGTTGCACCCATTTATTTATTTCCCTTCCCTCGTGCACCTTCCATGGGATGTGACTGCATCTGGCTGATTGGTGAAGGAAATTGCGCCCTGCCCCTTCTCCTTCCTCCTCCACCACCTTTTCCCTCTTTGCACCTTCAACAGGGTGGAATTCGAGAAAGCAGCATACGAGATCCGAGCCCTCAGAAGCCGGTTTGAGTCGATGCCAGCGCAACCTAATTCCCCTTCTCCTTCCTCCTCCACCACCTTTTCCCTCTTTGCACCTTCAACAGGGTGGAATTCGAGAAAGCAGCATACGCATATGAGATTTGGGCCCTCCGGACTTTTGAGGCGCCTCAAAAGATGAGGCAGCATATGAGATTCGGGCCCTCTGGAGCCGGTTTGAGTCGATTCTTTCCTTCACTCTTGCCACTGTGCCCTATGCCCTGTGCCTTGTGCCCTGTGTCCTTGCCCTGCGTTCTGTGCCTTGTGCCCTGTGTCCTTGCCCTGCGTTCTGGGCCTTGTGCCCTGTGTCCATGCAGGGTTGAATTCACCGAAGCAGCATACGAGATCCGAGCCCTCAGAAGCCGCTTCGAATCGCCCCTCCTCCGCTACTCCTTCTCCTCCCTCGTCACCCCCACCACCGTGTTTGAGCGAGACATGGACACAGACAAACAGGCGGCTAGGAAGGTTGACTGGGTGAGTGTGTTTAGGTAGGGTGTGGTTGGGGGGGTTGTATGAATGAATACATCATACTCTTCTCCTCCCTCGTCACTCCCACCACCATGTTCGAGTGAGACATGGACACAGACGGACAAGCAGCTAGGAAGGTTGACAGGGTGAGTGCGTTTGGGGTGTGGTGGTTGCGTGCACGATGAATGTATGGTGGGTGTGGTGTGGTGTGGTGCGGTATGGATGGCGTGGTGGGTGTGCCGGTTTGAGTCGAATCTCCTCCGCTTCTCCTTCTCCTCCCTGGTCAACCCCACCACTGTGTTCGAGTGAGACATGGACACAGATAGACAAGAGGCTAGGAAGGTTGACTGGGTGAGTAGTATTAGAATCTGGTTGAGTGAGTTTGGGGTGTGGTGGGTGTGTTTGGGTGGCTCTCAAAAGCCTTTGAGAATTCTCAAAAGCGGCTCCAAGGAAGGTGGACTGGGTGAGTGGTATTAGTAGAGGTGACTTTTGAGTCGACTCGAAAGTCACCTTGACTCAAAAGTCACCTCAAAAGCGGCTCCAAGGAATGTGGACAGGGAGAGTGGTATTAGTACCTGCTTGAGTGAGTTTGGGTTGTGGCGGGTTTGGTGGGTCTGGTGGGTGTGGTGGGTGGGTGTGTGTGGGTGCTACTACTGTACTTGCACATACTTTTCATGTGGCAGCACGCCTCTATATGTATCTTCTCCCCATCTCCCTTGTTTTCTCTCCACTTTCTCACTCTCTCCCCCCATCTCTTTGAACCTCTCCCCATCCCTTTGATTTGAACCTCTCCCCATCTATCCCCTACAGGTCGGCGAATCCTTCGACCCCTCACTCTACTCCTCCAGCCGTCTCTTCGCCACGGCAGCAGACGGCACTCAAGTGCCCATTTCGCTCGTCCATCGCAACAGCACTTGCAGTGCTGCCACCAACGAACCCCCTTGGCCCATGCTGCTCTATGCCTATGGCGCGTATGAGGTGAGTGAGAGAGTCACCGCACAGTAGTAGTAGCAGCAGCTGCAGCAGACGGAACTCAAGTGCTCATCTCGCTGTGATGAGACGATTCTTGAGTCGACTCAAGAAGCAGCAGCACCAGCAGACGGCACTCAAGTGCCCATCTCGCTGTGATGAGACGATTCTTGAGTCGACTCAAGAAGCAGCAGCACCAGCAGACGTCACTCAAGTGCCCATCTCGCCCGCCCATCGCAACAGCCCTTCCAACGCTGCCAACGCTGCCAGTGCTGCCAGTGCTGCCAGTGCTGCCAGCGACCCCCCTTGGCCCATGCTGCTCTATGCGTACGGTGCATACAAGGTGAGTGAATTTCACTAGTAATGCGTGCGGTGAGAGAGAGTCCCTGCACAGCGGCAGCAGCAGCTGCAGCAGACGGCACTCAAGTGCCTATCTCGCCCGCCCATCGCAACAGCCCTTCCAGTGACCCTCCAGATTCTGCTTTTGAGTCGACTCAAAATGTGACCCTCCGGATTTTGCTGCTGCCAGTGCTGCAAGCACCGGCCTGGCTTGGCCCCTGCTGCTGTATGCGTGTGGTGCATTGCATAGGAGGTGAGTGAGAGTGTGTACCAAGCAACAGCAGACCACACTCGCAGTGACCCTCATGCTTCCCGTGCTGCAAGCACCGGCCCGCCTTGGCGCATGCTGCTCTTGCACACACACGCGCGCGCTCGCGTGCGCACACATACACACACACGCGCACACACACACACACACACACACACACACACACACACACACACACACACACACGCACACACGCACACGGCACGCACACTCACGCACACGCGCACGCGCGCGCGCACACACACACACACACAGGCAGGCAGGCACACGCACACAGGCAAGCACACGCGCGCACACACACACACACACCCACACACACACACCTACACCCACCCACACACACACACGCACACCCGCACACGCACACACGCACGCACACGACACGCACGCACATACACACACACACACACACACACGCCCACACCTGCACCCGCACACACACACACCCACACCCGCACACACACGCACACGCACACACACAACCACACCCACGTAGGCCAGCCTTCTCTCGCTCCTTTCTCTCCTCCTCCCTGTCTCTCCCCAGGTGCCCACGCATCTCTCTTTCTCCTCTGACCGCTCTCCCTGTCGGGCCGAGGGGTGGCAGTGGCGATAGAGCATGTGAGGGGAGGAAGCGACTTGGAATCTACTTACCTCTTTCTCTCTACTGTCCCCCCACCCTCCCTGCTGTAGGTGCCCTCGTGCCTCTCTTTCTCCCCCGACCTACTCTCACTGTTAGACCGAGGGGTGGTGGTGGTGATAGAGCACGTGAGGGGAGGAGGCGACTGGGAATCGACTGACCTCTTTCTCTCTTCTTTCCCTCCACCCGCGCACCTCTCTTCCTTCTGTAGGTGCCCTCGCGCCTCTCTTTCTCCCCTGACCGTCTCTCCCTGCTCGATCGAGGGGTGGTTGTGGCCGTAGCGCATGTGAGGGGAGGAGGCGACTGGGACTATCAGTGGTACTTGGACGGGAAGCTTCTGAGAAAGCGCAACACGGTGTGGGATGTGATTGCGTGTGCCGAGCACCTGATCAAGGAAGGGTGAGTGAGGGAGGGAGTGAGGGAGGGAGTGAGTGATTGAGTGAGGGAGGGAGGGAGTGAGCGAGTGAGCGGTGAGTGAGTGAGTGCCTTGAAGGATCGTCTACGTGCCTCAAAGGGTGTGCGCTTGCCAGCCACAGTGTCTGATGGTGATTGCTAGTGCCGTGCACCTGATCAAGGAAGGGTGAGTGAGGGAGAGAAGGGAGGGTGTGATGATAAGCCACATGATATGAGATTTTTTTTTTTTTTTTTTTTTTTTTTTGAGACGTCTCAAAATTTCACTCATCACATTGTCAAAGAAGACGCTTGAAGGAAATTGGTGCGATGATAAGGGCGAGCGAGTGAGGGAGGGAAGGGAGGGAGGAAGTGACGGTGGTGCGTCTGAAACGGTGGTGTGGCACAATGCACACAAGCACAATGTGCCGCACTCAAACGTACACAAGATGCCCAACCCCTGCACGCGAATTTGCTCTGCCCACGATGGAAACTCTGCACCCGTGTATTAGGGTACCAGGCAGTTGCACCCTGTTTATAAGCACCTCGAGCAATACGAACCACAAAAACCGAAGTTTGACAGAAGAGACCCATGTCAAACGGTCAAAAGTGAGTTACAAAATCTTTTTAAAAGCCCTTTTTGCTAAGTGCGAATTGACGAAAACTTAGCGAAATGCAAGAATCACTTAAGAGCCCTCTTAGCAGGGCAACCTTGGGTTAGTCAAACGGGCATCGTGTGTACCTGAAAGCGATGTTTTCTTTAGAAACCGTTGTGTGCTTCGTGTGCATTTGTCGCTTGGTGGTCATTTGCCTGCCACCTTTCTAGGGTCCAGTTGCAAGAACCAGACCAGAAAATAAAAGCACTGTTGCCAGTGCTTACCCTTGGTATTATAAGGTCGCGAAAGAGGGTGTATTGAGCATAAACGCACCAAAATACCTACATTGCGTTTGATGTGTAAATACGCCGAAATGCGTACGGGCTGACCGAAAAGAATAGGTTAAATTGGGTTTGGGCCCGCGGTGTAGCAAACTCAAAGCTGGACTTGGCGGATTCGAGATGTCAACCTCGACTTCGAATTTCGAATTTCGAAGTCGATGCACAACCCCTCATGTTTACCGCTGAGCAACCCTCTCAACCCTGTCCATTCCCAATCCTTTCCAATCCAACTTGTTCCGAGGAGTTCGCTTCCCTGGTTGGGAACGACGACGAGCTTGATGCTCTTAGTTGTCGACTTAGTAGTCCTTAATGTCGACTCAGTTCTTAATGTTGACTAAGTTCTTAGTGTTGACCTATAATGTCGACTTCGTTCTTAAGCTCGACCTAATTCTAAATTATGTCGACCTGAGTCTTAACGACGTCAGGTAGAAAGGGGGGTGCGGAATGGGGGTTGTTGCTGCTTTGCGCCTCGCCCATCCCCACCTCGACATTTTTCTTGCCCTGAAAAACTCTAACCTGTCCGGGCCTGCAAATTCTGTGCGTACCGGAACCCCTACCGTGCAGCGTATCGCGTATATACGCTTGCGAATAGACGCTTTCGTATAAAACGCGATACGCGTATTTTCCAACTTAGCTCTAGACCGATTGGCCCTGGAAGGCAGGTCAGCAGGGATCATTCTCGTGGGAGCAGCAGAAAACGAACGGCCCGGATCTTCCTTTGTTCTCCTCTCTCTCATCTCACCGTCCATATGCCCATCCCTGCCCTCTCCCTCTCCATAACTCTCTCTACCCAGTCTCACCACTCCAGACCGATTGGCCCTGGAAGGCCGGTCAGCAGGGGGCATACCTGTGGGGGCAGCCGTGAACGAACGGCCGGATCTGTTTCGATCAGCCGTGGCTGGCGTGCCGTTCGTTGATGTGCTCTCCACCATGCTAGACGCCTCTCTACACCTCACCATCACAGAGTGGGAGGTGGGTTTAGCAGCACTGAGTGGGAGGTGGGTTTAGCAGCACTGAGTGGGAGGTGGGTTTAGCAGCACTGAGTGGGAGGTGGGTTTAGCAGCACTGAGTGGGAGGTGGGTTTAGCAGCACTGAGTGGGAGGTGGGTTTAGCAGCACTGAGTGGGAGGTGGGTTTAGCAGCACTGAGTGGGAGGTCGGTCGCCTGTGGGAGATGGGTGGGCTGTGGAAGGTGGATAGGCTAGTGGGCAGGTGGGCGGGCGAGCGGGTGGGTGGATGGGTGGGCGGGCCAGTGTCTTGCTGTATATTGAGAATTCTCAAAAACCAGCCCCTGGGAGGTGGGTCAGCTGTTGGAGATCGTTGTTTTGTGCGTTTACTTAATGTGACTTGCGTGCTTGTCTTGTGTGCGGCTCTGCGTGGCTGTGTGTGGTCATGTCCGGTCTTGTGCGGTCGTATGAGGTTGTGTGTGTGTGGCAAGCAGGAGTGGGGCAACCCACATGAGGAGCAGTACTATCACTGCATCAAGTCCTATTCTCCTGTCGACAATGTGAGTGACCCCCTCCCACCGCACCCCACTCCATCCCTCCCTCCCTCCCTCCCTTTCATGTATGAATTTCTTTCGGCATTAAAATCCCCCCTGCATTCCACTTTCCCAGGTGGTCTCTTTTTTATACATGCTATGCACTCCCCTTTCGTTTCTCTGTTCTTTTCCAGTCCAATACTTTCCTTTGTCTCGAAGATGCCCTTTTTCCCTAAGATGCTCTGTCTCCCTTCCCCAATCTGCTGACCCTTTGCTGTCTCTGCTGCTCCCCTCCCCCTCCTCCTCCACCTTCTCCTGCTCCTGCTTCTTCTCCTGCTTTCAGGTGAAGCCCCAGGCTTATCCCAACATACTGGCCACTGCTTCGCTCCATGGTAAGCCAAACCCTCTATGAAGAAGAAATAGAACTTGGGGTCAAGTTTTGCACTCTTCTCATACGTTGGGGTCATTCGTTGCGGTGTGAGAAGAGCACTAAACGTTTCTGAACGCATTCAGTCTCAGGAGACGCCAGCCAAGTGGGTTCGCGAGGCTGCGAGATGCCAGTACGAGCAGTGACTCGGCGGTTCTGCTGCTTCGGTGTGAGATGCCTCAAACGCCAACAGTAGCTGAACTCCTTTTGAGGCGCCTCAAAAGTAGCTGAAATCCTGCCGGTGCTCTCTCACACTTCATCCCTTGCCCGCATCCCTCCCCTCCTCTGGCCCTCCGCCCGCCCTCCCTGTTTAGTTACACTGGTTAACCCTCTCCCTTCGTTGTTCGCCTCCTCTCCCTCCTCCCTCCTCCCTTCACCCTCCCTCTTCCACCATTCTCTCCCACTTGCAGATCAGAGAGTGAACTATTGGGAGCCAGCCAAGTGGGTGGCACGGTTAAGAGACGCCAACACAAGCAGTGATTCGGTGGTGCTGCTTCGGTGTGGGACGCCTCAAAAGCCAACAGACCTGAAATTCTGCATGTGCCCTCTCGCACTTCTTTCCTCGCCCTCCTCCTTACCTTATTGTCTGCCAACACTTCCCGTCATCCCGTTCCTACCTCCCTCCCTCCCTCTCTTCCATCGCAGACCAGAGAGTGAACTACTGGGAGCCAGCCAAGTGGGTGGCGAGGCTGAGACACGCCAACACCAGCAGTGACTCGGTGGTGCTGCTGCGGTGCTCTCGCGCTCTTCTCACATCATCCCGTTCCTACCTCCCTCCCTCCCTCTCTTCCATCGCAGACCAGAGAGTGAACTACTGGTAGCCGGCCAAGTGGGTGGCATGGTTAAGAGACGCCAACACAAGCAGTGATTCGGTGGTGCTGACTTCTCATGTGCTGTCTCTTGCTCTCCCCCTCCCTCTCATCTACGCATTTCAGACCAGAGAGTGAACTACTGGGAGCCAGCCAAGTGGGTGGCACGATTGAGAGATGCCAACACCAGCAGTGATTCGGTGGTGCTGCTTCGGTGTGAGATGGACGCGGGACACTTCAGCAAGACAGGGAGGTGAGGGAGGGAGTGAGTGAGTGCGGGAGTCAGTGGGTGAGTGCATAGACGCCAATACAAGCAATGATTCAGTGGTGTTGCTCCGGTGTGAGATGGACACGGGACACTTCAGCAAGACACGGAGGTGAGTGATTGAATCGGGGCGATGAGGGAGTGAGGGAGGGAGTGAGGGAGTGAGTGAATGGAGGCAGTGAATGAGTGAGGGAATGGGTCAGGGAGGTCCAATGAGCGTGTTCTGTATGCTCATTACTAGAAGGTGCCTAAAATATAACCACTGATGGCTGCACTGCTACATTTTTGCTATGTATTCACCTTTGAAAATGCTCAATAGTAAAATCTACCAAAACTTGTCCATGCTTTTTTCTGTCCTTGCTGCAGGTTCGATCGCCTTGCTGACGTGGCGCTCCGCTATGCCTTCATTCTCTACACGCTTGGCGTGCACTGATTGCCTCTCTTTCGAGCCTTCTGGACGTGACATGAAGCTTCAATGTGTTGTGAAGGCTCAAATAAAGGGGGGCATTCTTGAGGCTCCTCCTGAATAATGCCTAGTTTGGGGCATTTCCCTTTGGTACACCATTTCATCCAAATAATGTATGAGGACTTTTTAGTCGAGAAAGTATATTTTGTGAATTCTGACTGATGACCTCTTCTTGTGAAATGATTGCGATTGTGACTTCATAGAAAGAACCACCCAGCTTGCCCTCCCACCTAAACATTGTGAATGCTGGAAAGATATGTCGTTCGTATGTGTGTGTGGGCTTCGGCATTGGAGCAAGTATTAGTTCACTCTGCGTATAGAAAACACGTGTGTTCAGTACGGTATCTGTAGCTAGGAAAAGTACAGTACGGAGAGTGCCTAAGAAATTAATGCAAGAGTGCAATTCAATGTCAAGCTAAATGATTTGATTAAATAACAGTAATTGCATGCACCGCACCGCACCGCACCCCACACAGAAAGCTAGCAGAACTATAAGTTAATAAAAGATTGGCAGGATCAACATATACCAATTGTAAGTGTTGTAACGCGTAATGTAACCAGCCATCCCTGCAGGGAACAATCACGGTCCGCAACCCCAGCAACCCCAACAACTGTGTGATCCTGGCAATTGTTTGATTTGAAGTCAAACCACCCGGAAGCACCCTTTAATCCTGGCATAAAACAGGAGGGCAGGAAGCAGGCAAACGGGTGAATCAACCATGTCTTGAAAGTCAACGGGAGTCGTTTGGTACTGAGCGAGAAATGACAAGGTGCTGAATTTAACTAAGTTACAATAAAGGTCTTGAAAGTCAACAAGGTCAACGGGAGTCAAGGTGTGCACCAGAAGGGGAGGGGAATCTTGCGCACTTTAGCGGATATGTTGTTAGAGAGCCAGTCCAGACCCTCATAGAGGCCCTCCCCTGACGTGGCACAGGTGCTCTGAATGTACCTGAAAAGGGGTAAGGGGGGGAAAGAGGGGGTTGTAGAAAGACAGATGAGATGCAAGGGTGTGTAGTAAGGCGTATAGCCGTTCCCCCAACGTGGCGCAGGTGCTCTGAATGTACCCGGTGGGTGAGGGGGGAAGAGGAAGGGGCAGGGAGGAGGAAAAAGGGCAGCGAAGGTGAGTGTGGATTTTGTTAGAGAGCCAGTCAAGCGCCTCGTAGAGGCCTTCCGCCGACGTGGCGCAGGTGCTCTGAATGTACCTGGTGTGAGGGGAGGGGAACGGAGGTGAGGGTTGGTTGCTACATAAGACACGAATGACAAAACACGTACCAGCAATGAGGGTAAGAGGAAGGGCCACATACACACACACACACACACACATACCCACACATACCGCCGTCCCCCCTCCCCCCACACACACACATACCCACACACGTACCCACACACACCAGGTGCGGTGGCACAGCGAGTGCAGGAGAAAAGGCTGGGCAATAATAGGAGGGCAAGATCTGAAGGACCAGATGCACACGCATACCTTGCGCAATCCAGCTACGACGTGACGCAACAGCAAATCTTGCTGAAGGACCAGATGCACACGCATACCAGGTGCGGTGGCGCAGCGAGTGAAGCCCAAGCTTGTCGGTGATCTCAGCAGCGTTCATCGCGTTGGGAAGGTCTTGCTTGTTGACAAAGACGAGGAGAGTCGCGTCACGCAACTCGTCCTGCAGATGGGAAGGGGATGAAGGAGAAGAGAACACGGGAAGAGGGCAATACTCGCGTTGGGCAGGTCCTGCTTGTTGGCAAACACCAGGAGAGTAGCATCACGCAACTCGTCCTGTACATTGGTTGGGAAGGTCCTGCTTGTTTGGAAACACCAGGAGAGAGGCGTCACGTAGCTCGTCCTGTAGATGGGGAAAGAAAGAAAAGAGTACGAAGGTAAACAGGAGGAGTACAGGGAAAAGGGGGTCATCGCGTTGGGAAGGTCCTGCTTGTTGGCAAACACCAGGAGAGTGGCGTCACGCAACTCGTTCTGCAGATGGGAAGGGGATGAAAGAGAAGAGAACACGGAAAGAGGGGAATTATCGCGTTGGGAAGGTCCCGCTCGTTGACCAGCATCGACCAGCGTTGACCTGCGTTGACCATCACTGCTCTCACCTCATTGAGCATGAGGTGCAGCTCGTCTCTCGCCTCCATCACTCTCTCCCTGTCATCACAAACATGAGCCCAGCGTGGCGTTTACCAGCGTTGACCTGTGTTGACTGGCGTTGACTGGCGTTGACTCACCTCATTGAGCATGCGGTGCAGCTCATCTCGCGCCTCCATCACTCTCTCCCTGTCGTTGCTGTCCACCACGAAGAGCACTGAAGCCCGTTGACTCCATTGACCTCGTTGACTCGCGTTGACTGGCGTTGACCTGCGTTGACTCACTCACCTCATTGAGCATGAGGTGCAGCTCGTCTCTCGCCTCCATCACTCTCTCCCTGTTGTTGCTGTCCACCACGTAGATGAGCCTCTGGGTGTACTGGTAGAAGCGCCGCCACAGAACCTCTGAAGTGGGAAGGGGTGAAGGACTGGCGTTGACCGGCGTTGACTGGCGTTGACTCACTCACCTCATTGCGCATGCGGTGCAGCTCGTCTCTTGCCTCCATCACTCTCTCCCTGTCGTTGCTGTCCACCACGTATAAGATTCCCTGCGTGCCTTGAAAGTAATGCCTCCACAGATACCGGATCTGAGAAGAAGAGGGAAGGGGAGGACCAGCGTTGACTGGCGTTGACTCACTCACCTCATTGAGCATGCGGTGCAGCTCGTCCCTCGCCTCCATCACTCTCTCCCTGTCGTTGCTGTCCACCACGTAGATTAACCCTTGAGTGTTGTTGAAATAATGCCTCCACAGAGGGCGAATCTGGAAGGGAAACATACAGAGGGGAAAAGATAGGGAGGACTGGCATTGACTTGCGTTGACTTGTAACATACAGGGAGCAGCCGTTGCTGTCCACCACATAGATGAGTCCTTGGGTGTTGTTGAAATAATGCCTCCACAGAGGGCGAATCTGGGGGAAAAGGAGGAAAACAGAGGGGAAAAGGGAGGGGGAGAAGGCGAACGGGGAGGGAGGTAGAGGGAGGCTGATGTCAACACAGGTCAACGCACAAGTCAACAGAGTCAGCACAAGTCAAAAGAGACAAGTCAATAGAAGTCAGCGGAGCAGTCGAACCAACAAGAGCCAAACCAATCTGGTTACCTTATCCTGCCCCCCCACGTCCCAGACAGTGAAGCTGATGTTCTTATACTCCACTGTCTCCACATTGAAGCCTGCAATACAGTCACAATCGGTGAAAAGAGGGAGAAAAGATCAATTGTCATCAAGTGTACATTGATTGCGTTGAAGCCTGCGATAGAGTCACAGTGAGCGAATGAAGAGGGGAAAAAATAGGAATAATCAACTGCATGCTAATCACAAAGATAACGCTAATCAGACCAACCACGCCCTTACCAGACTCACTCACCAATAGTGGGGATGGTAGTAACGAGTTCCCCCAGCTTGAGCTTGTATAGAATCGTTGTTTTGCCCGCCGCGTCCAGCCCCACCATGAGAATGCGCATGTCCCTCTTGCCCACCCACCGCGCAAACAGCTTCGTGAACGTCAACCCCATGCCGGGCTGGGATAAAAGTGAGACTTGGTTTGATTGAGATTATTATATTTCTAAGATGGAAAGCTTGTAACGAGTCTTTTGGGAAACCAGAATCGCTGTTCTGCAGAGAGGGAGTGGTTCTTAGACTGGAGAACGAGTGAGGGAGTGAGATGATATGCAGAATAGAAGCTGTGATATAAGTAGTTGTGGTATCAGGAGGAGGAATCGGAGTGGTAATCGTGGGATGTGTAGCAGCAGCAGCAGTGGGCGGTAGTACTACCGTTGGGATCACACCGTGGTGGCAACTGGCGGAGCTCAGGGTTGCGCCAGAGGCAACTGGCGGAGCTCAGGGTTGCGGCGGAGCTCAAAGTTCCGCCTGTGGGAATCCCCGCGGAATCTTCATCCGCGCTGAATGCTTCCACGGGGAAAGCTTTGCGCGCGGGGACGCGGAGAACATCCGCCATGATACCCGCTTAAGCGGACTTGTTCCGCTCGAGCCGTTTTGACGCGGAAGAGGTGAGGGGGTTGGCGGGCAAAATTGGGCGGGGAAACATCGGGTGAGGGAAGATGGAGAGAGGGAGGAAGATGGAGGGAGGGAGGAGGAAAAATGGGGAGTTTGAGGCTGGGGTGAGGAAAGGGGGGGAAATGCGAAAGCAGTGCGAGGCGGAGATGGGAAAGCGCAAGCACCTTTTAGCATTCCGCACGTGTCACGGAACGGGCTTCGCAGAACCTTCCGTGCGCTTCGCTGACTTTCCATTTTGCTGACTTCGCGAAACAGCTGCTACTGTAGGGACCTCGAAACAGCACTCCCGACCAATTAGAATCGAAGGCATTCGGTCCAAACGAGTAAGAGAGAGCTCCGCATCTACCGGCGTGATAGACAGCGAATGGCCGCGAATGGATCGCGAATGCTCGTCATTGCTTAACGCTGATTGGTGGAGTGACGTATCATCCAAGGCTATCGCGGCCTTTCAAACTCGGAGTCTTTGTCAGTTGCCCACGTGGCCACGTGGCGACGTGACGACGTATGGTCGGCTCCGATTGGGGCCATACATTTGGCCGCACGTGACGGCGGATGCGCGCGATCCGCATTGCCGCCAGCCGGGCGCGCCACGCACCTGGACGAAGGGGGTGCGTTATCGTCGTGATTATATTTCCGCCGGCCATGTCCGCTTATGGCGACTATCTAGGGTTTCAGGGGTGGGGAATGGGGGGAAGAGAGGAGATGGAGCGCAATTGGCGCATTGCGCGGGGCAAAGAAATCCTTCCTTGCCAAGATGCCGGAGCTGTGGCGAATTTGCACGCAGCTTCTCCGATTGGTTACACGTCGTCGCATGACAGCCGCTTTGATCCGTCTGGTTACCGAGTAAAGTCGTTGCGAAGTACGGCTAGCCAACTGTTTTCGTAACGGAAAGTGGAACAGGTACGACACCTGATCAAAAGGCGTTGGCGAAGTGTACTCGCGACAACTAAGTTTATTCGCACATCTTCGCAACCCACGTCATTCAACCAATAACAAAATTCGGATGCGTATCAGCTCCAAATCCCACGTGGTAACCTTTTCGTTTGCATTAATCGACTATCTCTCTTCTGAAACTTCCATCTGCCTTCTCATCGAGTCGCACATCAATGCGCGCATCGAACCAATCCGAAATGCACATTTCGCATTTCCCATCCACAGCCATTCTGAAAATGTTCTGCCGAGTCCCACGCACCCTCCTCCCCTCTCCCCCTTCTTGCATACTTTCCGCACCACGTGACTCATCACGTGGTGGCACCGCGGACCTCCTTATCTGCGCCAACTCGGCGCAAACAAAGCTGCAACGCTGCAACGCGCTTCGCATTCGGGTTCCCCTTCCGGCGATCCCCTCTGGGATTCGTTCCGCTCCTACCAGCAAGAATAGCTTGTTTGCCGTGTTCAGATAGGTTTTGGAAAGATAGGGGCTCAGGTGGCCAAGACACTCACAGCATCCAAATCTGCTTGATCCAACTTCGATGAACTCGTCCAGATTTTGAGCTGATATCCGCTACAGCCTCTGCTCTTCAACTGACCCTTCTGGATATTGATTGTACCTGCCTCACTCTGCTTGTTTTTTATCCTCTGACACTGTTACAAGCTCATTTCAGCAAGGTCATTTTACCTTCTAGTTGAATACTGCCTGCATCATGGGTAACCTACTCGCAAGAGCCTTCGCAGCGCTTATAAACAAGCGCGACATGCGCATTCTGATGGTTGGGTTGGACGCAGCAGGCAAGACGACCATTCTCTACAAGCTCAAGCTGGGCGAAAACGTCACCACCATTCCCACCATCGGTCAGTGATCCACGAGAAAGCTTGAGAAGGTGGCTCTTCTGATGACGTGTCTAAATTGTAACTACTGTTAGTAACTGAAACCGTAATCATCATGCATCAACGTTTCTTTTCTCCCTTTTCGCCCGCTGTGACTGTATTGCAGGCTTCAACGTGGAGACAGTGGAGTATAAGAACATCAGCTTCACTGTGTGGGACGTGGGGGGCCAGGACAGGGTGAGTTCCCTTGCACCCTCTCTCTCCCTCTCCCTGTGCACGATTCGTTCTTGTCCTGTCGTAGCATACCAGAATTTCCTGTGAAGGCAGTACCTTAATTCACACCTGGCTCCTCTTTCTTTCAACGTACTGTAGTCACCCCAAGTCAGCACCTCCCAAACCTGCAGGTCTGCCTTCTCTGGAAGCGCCATTTCCAGCACACCAACGGACTCATCTTCCACTGCTAGTAAACCCAAGTCAACTCAAGTCAGCCCCTCCCCACCCACTACCCCAGATTCGTCCTCTGTGGAAGCACTATTTTCAGCACACCAATGGGCTCATCTTTGTGGTGGACAGCAACGACAGGGACCGCGTGGCGGAGGCAAGGGATGAGCTCCATGCGATGCTCAGCGAGGTGAGTCAATGCAAGTCAATGACGGTCAACACACCTCAGTTCCCATCTTTGTGGTGGACAGCAACGACAGGGACCGAGTGGCGGAGGCGAGGGATGAGCTCCATGCGATGCTGAGTGAGGTGAGTCAATGCAAGTCAATGCAAGACAGTGCGAGTGGACAGCAACGACAGAGACCGAGTAGCAGAGGCGAGAGACGAACTGCACGCTATGCTCAGCGAAGTGAGTCAATGCAAGTCAATGACGGTCAACACACCTCAGTTCCCATCTGTGTGGTGGACAGCAACGACCGGGACGGAGTGGCAGAGGCGAGGGATGAGCTCCATGCGATGCTGAGTGAGGTGAGTCAATGCAAGTCAATGCAGGTCAATGCAGGTCAATACATGTCCATGCACACCAACGGGCTCATCTTTGTGGTGGACAGCAACGATCAGGACCGAGTGGCGGGGGCAGGTGAGAGTCAATGGAAGTCGATGCAAGTCAGTGGAAGTATGGATGCAGAGAGAATTTGATGCCGAGAGAATTTGATGCCGAGAGAATTTGATGCAGCTCCACACACTCCTCTCTGCTAATGTTTCCGCCACGCTTGGCGCAACCTTGGGGGACTGAATCGGCGCCATAAGAACCCCCGCGCACACACTCCTCTCTGCTAATGTTTGCCAACAATCAGAAGGTCGCTTCTTTCTCTCTTCCCCCTCCCCTTTCCAACCACCCCCCGTCACACTCACAGGACGCCCTGAGGGACGCGGCGCTGCTGGTGTTTGCCAACAAGCAGGACATTCCCAAGGGGATGAGCGCAGCGCACACACATTGTTGAGTTGAGTGCTACTCCCTTTCCCCTTGTCTCTCCCCTCTTCCCTGACCCCAAACACACTCACAGGACGCTCTGAGGGACGCGGCACTGCTGGTGTTTGGCAACAAGCAGGACCTTCCCAAGGCGATGAGCGCTGCTGAAATCACCGACAGCCTCTCGCTGCACACGCTCAGGAGCAGAAACTGGTGAGTTAGCCAACACACGCTCAGGAGCAGAAACTGGTGAGTTAGCCAACACACGCTCAGGAGCAGAAACTGGTGAGTTAGCCAACACACGCTCAGGAGCAGAAACTGGTGAGTTAGCCAACACACGCTCAGGAGCAGAAACTGGTGAGTTAGCCAACACACGCTCAGGAGCAGAAACTGGTGAGTTAGCCAACACACGCTCAGGAGCAGAAACTGGTGAGTTAGCCAACACACGCTCAGGAGCAGAAACTGGTGAGTTAGCCAACACGCTCAGGAGCAGAAACTGGTGAGTTAGCCAACACACGCTCAGGAGCAGAAACTGGTGAGTTAGCCAACACACGCTTTTTTGAGTCTTGATGAAAACATGAGTGCAGCTGAAAGCATCCTGACATCACCGACAGCCTCGCGCTGCACACGCTCAGGAGCAGAAATTGGTGAGCTGAACTGAACTCACACGCACAGACTTAGTCCCATTTTTTTGGCGACTTTTGAGGCGCCTCAAAAGCCGTCGCAGGAGCAGCAACTGGCGAGCTGAACTCACACGCCCAGATACAGTCCCATTTTTTTTGCGCCTCAAAGCCCCCCATATCACACACCCGCCACAACCCACTCATGTGTAATCCGTAGACCACCCATCCCCTCACCGGGGATATCACTGCCTCGTAATACAACCTCTCTCCCTTCTCACTCCCTAACCCCCCTTCCTCTTCTCCCTGTCTCTTTCCCCCACCAGGTACATTCAGAGCACCTGTGCCACATCCTGGGAATATCACCCCCTTATTGCACAACCTTACCCCTGCCTCTCCCCCCACCCCATCACCAGGTACATTCAGAGCACCTGTGCCACATCAGGGGAAGGGCTGTATGAGGGCCTTGACTGGCTTACTATACAGCCTTACCCCTTCTCTCCCCACCTTACCCCCATTCTCTTCCCCTTCCCCCCTACCCCCCCCACCAGGTACATTCAGAGCACCTGTGCTACGTCAGGGGAAGGGCTGTATGAGGGCCTTGACTGGCTCGCCAAGAACATCACACTCAAGGTACTATAGAAAACATGTATAATATACAGTATAGTCTATTTATATCATTACATATTATAGAATTGGTGACTCGTGTTACGGAGTGACAGGACACTAAAACTGCTCGCATTGCTCGCATCCTGCCATCTCTCTCCCTCCATTACACCTCGCTTCCCCCAATAATCACCCACTCTTTGTTCACCTCTCTTGCACCTGTTCGTACCACTCTTAACCCCACCGTTGCAACTCCCAGGACTAGCTTCCTGAGCCAACAGCTCCCATGTAAGCAGGCGACTGAGGCATGGGAGAACTCCCACCAGAGACCTACCAGAGAACCCCCTTGCGCAGAGAACTACCATCGAACTCTCTTTCTCAGCATGTACAGAACATCCCGTCTCCCACAACATTCCGTCTGTGCTTGCTTCCACTGCGTACCATCCAAGAGATAGCAGCAGACAGGAAAGAAGCACTCTATTGCAGCTGGACTTTCCCTTGCTTGTGCTACTACCACACATTCTAGTTTCCATTTGACCTCTTCGGTGCTCTTATTATACTTTCCTTTCTTGAAAAGAAAAGGAAAAAAAAAATATACAAACAGACAAGAACGCACTCCTTGCTCGATATAAGGTGTTTCATTATAGACACGAAAAAATCAGCGACTCAAACATGAAACTCCTCGCTGGAGGAAAGGAGCGACAAAACACAAGCGAAAGGAAGCAAAGGAAAAGGGAGATAGCTCTATGCATTCCAACCGAAAGCGTGCAGGAGGGTGCCAAACCTAGCCTCAGGGGGGCACACACACACACACAAAAAAAACACACAAAAAAAAAAAAAACATTTACGCCAAGAGTAAGGAGGGGGTCGAACCACTGACCTAGAAACAAGCCACTACAGCCTCAAAGAAGGGCCTTCAAGAGGGAGCAGCAGCATGCGTACCCCCTCTCCCTGCCACCACACAACCCCTTCCTCTGGCTCCACTACCCCATCCTCCCCCACCCCCTCCTCCTCAAAGAAGGGCCTTCAAACGAACAACCAAGCCTCTACAGCCTCTAGAGATTCAAAAGAAGTACAAGGCATGCAGCACACATGCCTCCTCTCTCTGCCGCCACCACACCCCTTCCTGCTTCAAACCAACTAACAAGCCTCACGAGCCTGTAGAGCCTCAAGAGCAGCACAAGGCATGCAGCACACATGCCTCCTCTCTCTGCCACCACCAAACCCCTTCCTCCTGCTCTAATCCTCCATCCTCCCTACCCCCTCCTCCTTTGTCACTTCATGCGAACAAACAAGCCTCTACAGCCTCTAGAGCTTCAAAAGCAGCACCAGGCACGCCACAGAACGCCTGTCTCCTCTCCCTGCTGCCACCAAACCCCTTCCTCCTGCTTCAATCCTCCATCCTCCCCACCCCCTCCCCCTCCCTCTCCCCCAAATCCCCTTCCTCCCTTACTTTCCTTCCTCCCCAAACCCTACATTCCTACGCCTGCCTTCCCCACACCCGCCTTCCCCAACGCCCGCCTTCCCCACACCCGCCTTCCCCAACACCCGCCTTCCCCAACACCCGCCTTCCCCACGCCCGCCTTGCCCACACCCGCCCTCCCTACGCCCGCCTTTCTCACGCCCCCCCTCCCCATGCCCACCTTCCCCACGCCCACCCCCCCCACAGCCGCCTTTCACACGCCCCTACTTTCGCCACGCTTGGCACATTCGTGTTTCCCCCATTCTTTCTTCCTTCCCCCGGGCCTTCCCCCTCCCTTTCCTCCCCAGACTCTGCATTCCGCACGTCCCCCCCTGCGCCCGCCTTTACAGAGCCCCTATTTCCGCCATGCTTGGCGCAACCTTGGCATGTTTGCAATGCTTGGCGCAACCTTGGCATGTTTGCAATGCTTGGCGCAATATTGGCATGTTTGCAATGCTTGGCGCAACCTTGGCATGTTTGCAATGCTTGGCGCAATCTTGGCATGTTTGCAATGCTTGGCGCAATCTTGGCATGTTTGCAATGCTTGGCGCAACCTTGGCATGTTTGCAATGCTTGGCGCAACCTTGGCATGTTTGCAATGCTTGGCGCAACCTTGGCATGTTTGCAATGCTTGGCGCAACCTTGGCATGCTTGCAATGCCTGGCGCAACCTTGGCATGTTTGCAATGCTTGGCGCAACCTTGGCATGTTTGCAATGCTTGGCGCAACCTTGGCATGTTTGCAATGCTTGGCGCAACCTTGGCATGCTTGCAATGCCTGGCGCAATCTTGGCATGTTTGCAATGCCTGGCGCAACCTTGGCATGTTTGCAATGCCTGGCGCAATCTTGGCATGTTTGCAATGCCTGGCGCAACCTTGGCATGTTTGCAATGCCTGGCGCAATCTTGGCATGTTTGCAATGCCTGGCGCAACCTTGGCATGTTTGCAATGCCTGGCGCAACCTTGGCATGTTTGCAACGCCTGGCGCAACCTTGGCATGTTTCCCCTTCCCTCTCAAAAGTACCATCAGCGCAACCTTGGCATGTTTGCCACGCTCCCTTTCCCCCTTCCCCTCCCCAGTTCCCCTTTCCTCCCCAAACCCTGCATTCCGCACATCTCGCCCTGCACCCACCTTCCCCATGCCCCTACTATCTCCATGCTTGGCACAACCTTGGCATGTTTATCACACGCTTTCCCCCTGCCCTCCCCACTTCCCCTTTCCTCCCCAAACCCTGCATTCCGCACGTCTCGCCCTGCACCCACCTTCCCCATGCCCCTACTATCTCCGCCACGCTTGGCGCAATCATAGCCGCACCGCATCCCCCTTCCCTCCTTCCCCCCAACTCTCCCCTCCCCATCCCCCGCTTTCCGTCCTTCCCCCTCCCCAGTTCCCCTTTCCGCAACAAACCCTTCATTCCGCATATCTCCCCCTGCGCCCGCCTTCCACACGTCCTTATCCCCGCCACGCGTGGCGCAACCCTTATTCGCGTCCCCTCTCCTTCCCTTTTTCCAACCCCTTCCCACCCTCCCTCCGTCCTTCCTCCTTCCCCCCCTTCCCCCCCCCCCCTCCCCTCCGCAGTTCCCCGTTCTCCCCAAACCCTACATTCCGCACGTTTCCCCCTGCGCCCGCCTTCCCCACGCGCCTATCTCCGCCACGCTTGGCGCAACCTTGGGGGACTGAATCGGCGCCATAAGAACCCCCGCGCCCTCTTCCATTTCCCCCGCCCCTTCCGCACCCCATCCCCCCCACCTTCCGCTTCCGCCGCTTCCCTTTCCGCCTCCCCTTCCGCTTCCCCTTCCCCCTGCGCCGCCTGCTCCAGTCCTCCCCACACCCTCGACCGCACCCGCCAACCCATTCTCTTCCGGGTAACCCTCCCCTAGATTACCCTCCCCCACGTAACCCCATCCCGAGTACCCCTGTCTCGGGAATATCTGACAATACGGCCCACACAGCGGACCGCCCACGAGTTGCTCGATTAGGGTTAGGTCGGGGGGGGTGGGGCAGTGAACGGCGGAGAGAATAGCGGGAGCGGGTGCACTGTTGGTACTACTACTAATCGTGGGAGTGACTGTGGTGGGGTCTGACAATAACGAGGATAAGGTCGCATTCATGATTGTCGTGTTTTTAATTTACTTAGGTTTGGATAGAGAAAATTGTGTGTCACTCTAAGTGGTGGCAATAGCAGTAGCAGTTCAGCAGCGGTTCGGCATCTAATATTATACAAAACAAATTCTAGCTACAAAGTTTACCTCGTGCTAGCGCAAATCATCCAAACACCTCGCAGTTCTGAAAATGGCCCTACTAGCATGCGAGCAAGTTAGATGTGGTACTACAACTACTAGATGTGGTAGCAGCTGACGCTTTTTGAAACAGTGATAACGGGGGCGTTTCGCAAAAGAGTTTCTGAGTTGTTGGAGTCGCGGACTTCCCAAGGAAGGTCGGCGAAGCCACTAATTGCTCGATATTTGATAAATGGAAGAAGGAACTCGTGAACAAGAAATTTTTAGTAGGAACAAGAAGAAATCAGCGAGGCGTACTGTTGCTCGTTCCTCTGAAAAGATGAGGGGCGGAAAATGCAGTCCCAACGACAGCCTTGAGAGCTATGGTTGCGATGTCGTTTACTCGCTGGTAACTCTTGCGAACATTACAAGCATCGCTTCGCTAACAGTCTAGAGTGTTTCTTCCTGACCAGCGCGGCAAGGTCGAGATGGCTGATTGGCTCCCGCCCTGGTGACACGGTGAATCCTACAAAGTCCACATCAGCTCTAGCGAAGCATGGGTTGGTTGACTTGGTTATCCTCTCTAGAGGGCCACACGCAATAACGACAGGCAGCCTACAAATAAAATGTAGAGTCCGATATCGCACAAGCACGTTGCAGAGAGAAAGTAAGTCAATTAGGTAGGTTAGTACTCATCTCTGCTGTATCGATTACCTATAATGATGCTTTATCTAAGCCGATCTGCCCTTTCCCTTTTGACCCTGCCCTACCTCTTCCTTTCGACTTCTCCCCTTCTACCTGCTTCTTACCACCTCTCCCATAAAATCTCAAGTACCATTCTACAAATTTCTGTAGCCCATCCTTGAGCCTGACCGTTGGGTGATACCCTAGCTCATGCTCTGCCCGTGACACATTTGCATGAGTGAAAGGCACATCCCCGTTATGAGGCAGCTGCACTGTCCGTTTCAGCGCTTTCTCCCTCAGATGTAACTGTAGATAGTCAACCAGCTGCGGCACAGAAACCGGCTGGGTATTCCCGAGGTTCAACACCCGTAGCTGCGCCGGACCTGTCTTCTTGCCTTGGACGCCGGTGCTGGGTGCAGCAGTTTGAAGGGCGCTGACACAGCCCTTGATGACGTCATCTACGTAGGTGAAGTCCCTAGAAACAAGGGTCTGCAGGTGGAGAGAAGGTGAGAGCAAAGAGAAGAGGAGAAACAGACAAACTGAGGAAAAAGAGGAGAGAATGAGAGAGGAGAGGCAAGAGAATGGGAAGAGAGTAGGGGAGGGTATGGGTGGTAGAGGGCTATGGGTGGAACAGACAATGAAGAGGGGGATGGGGAGATGGGGTTGAGAGGTGGGGGAAGGAGCGGGGCGAGGAGAGGGAGGAGAGTATGGACATTGAAGGATGAGGGGGGATGGAAGCTCAAGAAGCACCTCAGCAGCATACACGGGGAAGGTGAGGGGTTGGGGAGAATAGGGGATGAGAGGGTGAAGGGAGAAGGGGGAGAAAGGGGATGGGTGGGGGCGGAAACGGGGGAGGAAGGGGGGAATGTGGAAACCTGGATGGGAAAGAGGAGACGAGATGGGTGGGGAAAGAAGAGACAAGCCTTAGAAGTATGCCAAAAGGGCAAAGCATTTGAAGGACGACTCACCCCATTGGCTCCCATGTACACTTCAATCGCCTTCTTTTCCAAAATATTCTTCGTAAAAAAGAAATACGCCATATCGGGTCTTCCCCACGGCCCGTATACAGTGAAGAATCTCAACGCGGTTAGTGACAGTCCGTGGATGTGATTATACGAGTGTGCGATCGCTTCGCCAGCCAGCTTTGTCGCAGCGTACAAGCTCGCCGGTCGTTCGGTCCTGTGCGACTCCGAAAACGGAACCTCACGATTCACGCCGTACACGCTGCTGGACGACGCCCAGACGATCGCAGGCTGTCGCACAGGCACCCTGCGACACCTCTCCAGCAGATTCACGAACCCTGCGACGTTGCTGTCCACGTAGGATTTCGGATTCTCCAACGCATACCGAACTCCCGCTTGCGCCGCCATATGCGCCACGTGGGTGAATGTGACTGTAGCAAACAGCTTATCGAGAAGCGTGCCGTTGTTCAAGTCACCACGGATAATCTCAATCCCTGCAGACCAGAGTCGCGCCGCGCGCGCCTCCTTCAGCGTAGTATCATAGTAGTCGTTAAAATTGTCCAGACCCACCACCCCGTGACCCTCCTTTTTCAGAGCCAGCGCGAGGTGCGACCCGATGAATCCGGCAGCCCCCGTTACAAGAACAACCATGGACTCGTTCTGCTTCTGCCCACCAGTCACGGCTGTGACTGACACCGCGCTCCGTAACTGCTGACCGGAAAGACTGCCGTTGACTTTTGCTGACTCAATCAGCCGCCGTACCCAGTCAGCCTCGTGATTCCCGCCGCGATTTCCGCTCCCAGCGCCTGCGTCGCGACCACGACTGCTCGGTCCGATGAGGTCCGCGTAGCGCGATAACAGGGACGCTTTTGGCGTGTACAGCGCCACCGCGTCGTCTTCTGCCCGTTGATTTCCTCTGGTCTCGCTGGAATGGGTGACGGCGGATTCAGCGGCGGCTTCCCCGGCGGTTTTGACGGCGGTTGTGGCGGCAGGGGGATTGACAGTGGACAGTCCAACAGAGGGGTCGAAGGAGTTGGACGAGTAAGCCGTTACGGAAATATCCGTGAACTGTAACGAATTCCTCGTTAGCGCGTACGAAGTGTAGGACCCCGCGAGGCTTGACACGATCGCAGTGAGCGCGCAGGCGAGGACGAGGAGAGACCACGACGGACCGCGATCGTACTTGTATTTACTGTGACTATTATGAACGGAAGGGGCATCTATCAGGATGAACGAGGAGACAGAGTGGCTTTTGCTGAGCGACGCGGCTCCTCCCGACTGTTTCGCTCTTGAGGGATGGAGTACGACACGGGAGGAATTTGGCGGGTGTTGTTGAAACTTCTCGGAAGCGTCGTGCGAGGAGAGAGAGTGGCTCTTGCTCAGCGACGCGGCTCCTCCCGACTGCTTCATTCTCGCTTGCGGGACGCGAGGGATTCAACACTTTATGGTTGATGAGGCGTCTTGAAAACCGTCTGTGAGGGGTGGACGGACAAGGCGGACAAAGCGGCCACAGCGCGAATGATCTATTGATTCTGCGCGCAGCCCAACTCTTCTGCTGGGAAAAAGGAGAGAAGAGGTTTATCTAGGTTGAAAACCATGCAGCCTTACGATTGCTGTCACGGTCTACGCCGAGAAAGCTGGGCACCCGTCACGGTCGCGGTGAAGGAGTTGTCTGGCTCTGATAAAGTGACAACTGTTTCGGTGATTACACGTTTGTTGTTCCTTGTTCGAGCTATCGTTATAGAGCTAACAGCAACTTCTGACCGTATGGTACTACTGCCTTTGTGCTGTCTCTCTGTGAATGATGGAAGAATGGTACGATGGTTATCCGACGAAGTTTGAAGCTATGAGGCACCTCAAAGCGTTGTGCCTTTCTCTTCTGATACTTTCACGGTCAAACTATCAGAAAGTGCAGCGCCGTTGTGAGTAATGAAACGTCTCAAAATCGATTATTACTCCCCAGATCAGCGGCATGCCGTACAGACTAGTGCTTGCGAGCGACGGGTGTTGGATTAGCTTCCCAGCAATTGACGCAGTCCGAAGCGTGTGGATTGCGGTTCGAGAGTCGCGGCGGAGGCAAAATACCTTGAGTTCTGTCGAATGATCGGATAGTTGTCTGGTCTCTCGTTGCAGCAGGTATGACATTTCTGTGCTTTGTTCAGTAGGGAGACACGGGAACTAGGCAAGAATTTTAGAAGTAGTGAGACACGGAATTAGCTCGCGCGAAATCTCGGTCCGCTCAGTTGCTACTCCTAGCGGTCCGCGCAACCTGTGCAACTTGCGCAGTCTAATTTGGCTTGCGCGTGGCCATTTAGCGTATGTGAGAGGGTTGGAAACTATTCAAAACGGTGCAGAGTGTTCAGAAGGTTCAGGGGGGTGTAGAAGGGGGAAACTAGGGGAGGTGGCGGAGGGAGATGGGACAGAATTTGCTGCAGCATAACGCGCCTTGCCTACACAAACACACACCCTTCCAGTCCAACACATCTGATTGCCCCACACGTTTCGATGTGCGACTCGGGAGTCGGGACACCAAGGAAGGGCCGACAGCTAAACCGAGTCGGGACATCTAGAAATGAACCCCACCAAATCTCCGTCTGTCTGTCGCAGTTCCCTTCGCACAGTAGGATTTTCTGACTGCCAAGGCAGGACTCTGGCGCTGCGCGACGAGGCGGGCGGGACTGTCGGTCAGAGAGAGCCGTTCTGCGACTGTGAGGGAGTTGAAGGATGGTTCGCAGAGCTTTCGAGGCCGTCGCCTCTGGCGGCAGACTGCGCAAACCGCGATGTACCCCAGCCAGCCGCTTGCTTGAGCCCACAGGATCGTGTGGTCGTCAGACGAAACCTTGACGGTAGTTGTTGTCACCATTTGTAAGGAAATTCCCTTTTCCTTACTTCGCGTCCCTGCTCAACGCGTACATCACTGTAGCACCTCAGTCAGCACCGTTACCACTCGCGACCATCGCATCATTCATCATCCCGCCCTTTTCGCACATCGCATCCCGACCTCACGGCTCGGCTGGTAACCCGCGCTCCGGGCCTACGCTTCGACACTTTCCCAACCTCAGTCCCAGGCTCGTCGCGCGACAACCACAGTCCATTACCGTTACCACTATTGCTTCGCTATATAATCCTTCGCTCATGCCTTCGCTCATTTTGTACTCCTGCTTCGATAGTGCAATTCTCGTTCGTTCACTCAATTGCACTCGTAACACTTGGTATTCAGAGCCTACGATCTCATCTCGGACCGCATCCACACCTTCGCTTCCCACTATCTCAATTTTTGGGGGGGGTAGACGTCTCTCAGCGATACAGCACCGCCGCTCGTAGTGCTCTCTCGGAAGCACGCACGGCCACGACTGAGGCTCTCGCTGAGCTTGCCCGACACCCCTGCCATGGCTGATTTCACTATCGCCACGTTGACGCAGGAGCAACTCGATCGTCTCGTGCGACAGCTGGAGGAATCAGCGCTCGAAATCGCGACGCTCACGGCGGAACGTGACTCCGCCCGTCAACAGTCAACGGTGAACGCTCCGACAACTTCCCAAGCGCCAACCAATGTTTCTGTCCATTCGGAGGAGCCGATTGTTATCTCATCCGGCACACCAACGCAAAACAACAGCACGGGACAGCGCTCAGGCGCAGCCAGTGACGGCGCAGCCCAACCGATGCCCGGCATGGGAGGGAACAGGAATGCATCAAGCCCACGGGAGCCCCGAGAAGCCCGTCGGCACGTGGAGTTTGCGATGACAAGTGGAGGGAACGCCACGATTTCCCCAATGCCACTCAAGCCGCAACGCCCGCCCTGCTTCGACCCAAGCCAACGCGGTGGCCCGACAGTTCAATCGTGGGTCTTCACGATGAACGTGTTTTTCGACGCCAACTACGTCGAGTCGGACGCCGCCAAGATTCGGTATGCAGTTTCACTACTCAGGGGCCCCGCCATGGACTGGTGGCGAGTCATCGTGACATCGCCACGTGCCTACGAGCCACCGCCGCACGAGGAAGGGCCCTCGGGTCCAGCTGTCACCTGGAGTTCGTTCTGCGAAACAGCCCAATATAGCACGTGGGATGCGTGGTGCGCAGGGCTTCGGGCGCGTTTTGAGCCGATCGCGGCTTCTATTTCGGCGCGTCAGAAACTGCGCACTTGGCGCCAGCTCGGGTCGGTCCAAGACTACACCAGCGGTTTTCTCGCACTTTGCGAACAGGTCGGCTACATGCACGAGGCGGAGCGGGTGGACCGTTACGTCGGCGGACTGAAGCCGGACATATCGCACGAGATAATGCTACGCGGGCTATCGAATTTCAACGAAATCCTCGCGCTCGCCGAGAAAATCGATATCCTACGCCGACCGAGACCGGGGTCCTATTTCGGACATCGTCCTCGGGGACTGATCGAGCACGCCACCGTTCATGCCGTCGCAACGAATGCAGCTGCCACGCCATTTAGAGGGCGCTGCTTTGCTTGCAACCGGCCGGGCCATCGCAAGAGCGAATGTCCAGAAGAGCTGAGGCGTCGAGGAGCAGAGCAGGGGAGGGAGTCTCAGAGGCAGGGAAACGCCAGCAGTCAGTAGAAATTGGGCCAACTACTGACGAGACTGCCTGCTCGCCCAACCACACCGACCCTCACCGAGTCACAGTACCGATTCACGCCATCGATCGGGCTCGGATGAATAAGGAGGGTACAGCGACGGATTGCCCAGTACTGATCCACGGGAAAATACAGGGAGCAGCAGTCAAGATTTTCATCGACGGAGGAGCTAGCCACAGTTTAGTTAATACCGCAACCGCACGAAAACTTCAACTGACACTTAGCCGATGTTTACCTGAGATTGATGCGCGCTTAGTCGACGGCACGCCGCTGGCCATACGGGAGAGGGTGGAGAGAGTAAAAGTTCGCTGCGGGGGAAACTTCGGGTTTACACAGGAAATGCTCGCGACGACACTGGATGGGCACGACATTTTATTGGGACGTGATTGGTTGCGACGTTACAATCCGAGAATCGACTGGACGACGGGCAGCTGCACTGTGCGAAGTAGTGGTAACTGGGTCGAACTACCACGCTGGCAGTCGCCTGAGTCATCGACGGTCCACGTCAACGCCATCACAATGAAACGAGCAGTCGCCGCTGGAGCTGACGTGTATGCAGTAGACATCGCAGTGGTAGAAAAAGATGAGCAGCCGAGTGATTTCCAGAAATTGCTGACAGCGGTACCGCCGGAGCTACAAGAGCTATTGAAACGGTACCCGGGAATTTTCCCCGACGACTTACCGGAAGGACTGCCACCTCAGCGGGCGCACGACCATAGGATAGAGTTAGAGCCGGGGGCACAGCCAACTGTACAGCGCCAGTTCAGACTGACACAGCCGGAGCTCGACGAACTGAGGAAGCAGTTAGATTACCTGTTAGCAAAGCAGTTTATCCGACCGAGCTCGTCGCCGTTCGCCGCACCGATACTATTCACACCAAAAAAAGACGGAGGTTTTCGCATGTGCATCGATTACCGAGCGCTCAACAGGGTTACAATAAAGTCACGATACCCCATTCCCCGCGCCGACGAACTGATCGACCAACTGCGAACAGCACGGGTGTTCTCGAAAATAGATCTACGGGGAGGTTACCACCAAATTAGAGTCGAACCATCGGACTGCGCCAAGACAGCTTTTAGAACTAGGTACGGGTCGTTCGAGTACACCGTGATGCCTTTCGGGCTAACCAACGCACCCGCAACATTCCAGATGACCATGAACGAGGCGTTTAGACCACTTTTAGATAAGTGCGTGATCGTCTATCTCGACGACATTCTCGTCTACAGTCGCGATAAGCAGCAGCATTTAGCGGACCTGGAAGCAGTGTTTAAAATTCTCGAGGAGCATCGTTTATTGACTAAGGGGTCTAAGTGCGAGTTTTTTCGGGATAGGTTAGAATTTTTGGGGCACGTTATTTCAGAGGCTGGGGTTGAGATTGACCCGAAGAAGCTGGATACGGTCAACGCTTGGCGACCCCCGACAAACATCACGGAGCTGCAGAGTTTTTTGGGTTTCGTTAATTATGTCCGTCGATTCGTGCCTGACATGGCCCGCTTAACTGCCCCACTGACGGATCTGCTGCGGAAAGGGGTCGCTTTTACGTGGGGGGAGAAAGAGCATGCTGCCTTCTCTACCCTGAAAACTGTTCTCTGTTCACCACCTGTCCTGCGCATTGCCGACCCACACCGCCCATTCGAAGTCATTACTGACGCAAGCGACATCGCCATCGGAGCCGTACTGTTACAGGATTTCGGGAACGGCCTACAGCCCATCGCATACGAATCACGAAAACTGCACCCACCTGAGAAGAATTACCCGATACACGATCGCGAAATGCTTGCGATCGTGCATGCGTTCAAAGTGTGGCGCTGTTACTTGACCGGCG